AGTATAATTGCTTTACAATGGTGTGTTGGTTTCTGCTTTATAACAAAGTGAATCAATTATACATATACATATGTTCCCATATCTCTTCCCTCTTGCGTCTCCCTCCCTCCTACCCTCCCTATCCCACCCCTCCAGGCGGTCACAAAGCACCGAGCTGATCTCCCTGTGCTATGCGGCTGCTTCCCACTAGCTATCTACCTTACGTTTGGTAGTGTATATATGTCCATGGCGAGGCAAAAATCTGACCAGCAAACTCAACCTCCCCACTGCCACATCCCTCTCCCTTACCAAAGGGCACAGGTTTCACCTCAGGGAAACCCTCAGGTTACCTTTTAATGGCCTTGTGATTAGGAAGTTTGAAGTTTTAATCCCCTCTCAAGTGACACAATAACAAACAGTTTTTTGACTTCCGCTAAAACCATGCCTTTTATTTGCAAAACTGATAATAAGAGAATTCTGTTGGGTACACATTTAATCATTGGGTTCTGAGAGCAAAAAGAAGAAACTGACAACATGAAAAAGGCAGAGTCTTAGGCACTAATTTTTTCATTCATTAATATTTTTTGTTTTAAGACACAATCATGAAGTAAGCAAGTCTATACACAGTGTTGCATAGTAAAGACAAAGGTATGGTGATTTTTAAAAAAAGTTATGGTGACTTAAATTATTTGCAGATCTAAAACAATAGATTAGATTTATTTGGGAGAGATTTTTAAAATAATAATAATTGCCATGGATTAAAAGTCATTGAACCAATGTATGAGTTTAAAAAAAACTCTCAAAGGGATTTCCCTAGCAGTCCAGTGGTTAGGACTCCCCACTGCCGCTACCAGCGGCCCGGGTTCGATCCCTGGTCTGGGAACAAAGATCCCACCCGCTGCGCAGCGTGGCCAAAAAAAAAGAGAAAAGAAAAATACTCTCAGCAAACTATACTAATAGAGAATAATATTTACATTAGTGCTATAATAGGTAATATGATTATATTAATAATAATATAATAGAAGGACACTTTCTCTATGTGACAAAGGACATGTGTAAAAAACTAAACACCTAAGGCTCACATCATACTTCGTGGAGAAACACTGAGCACTTTTTCTCCAGCTGGGGCCTGGGCATGATGTCCACCGTCACCGCTTCTATTCTACGTTGTACTGGAGGTCCTAGCCTGTGCCATCAGGACTGTGATGCTGGGGATGTCGCTTGCAAAGGGGCCATGGGGACGCGGGGCCAACACTCCTGGCCAGGTAGTACTGTGCAGACTCGCTCAGTCATTTTCAAAGTCTCTTATCCGGGGTGAGGTGAAGAAAGATGTTGGCTGCACACTCACTGCCGATGGCTCAGGCTACAACTTCCCGGGGGAGTACTATGAACACACACATGCGCACACACGTGTGTCGTGCACACGCAACACAGACACACGGCTCCCCAAAACAAAGAACAGCCTTCCCTGCATCTATATTTAGTTTAAAAAAAAAACAACAACCAACTTTCTCAGTAGGTGGCTAGAACAATAAAGACACCTTCTTTACACTGGTCCCCAGAGCACCTCACAGCCATAGAGGAGCACCAACCCTCTGGTCACTGCCTGATTCAGGAAACTTCCCAACCATGAGGCGCAGGTAGGCCTTGTCTCACCCATGTCTTCAGACCCTGGACACAGCTGCCCATGCCTTTGGACCCACCTCTGGGAGATGGCTGAGGGTGTGTCCCCGACAGGAGCTGCCTCTGTGCCCAGTGCCCAGCATGAGGGAGGCTGGAGAGGGAGGGTCAGGGTCCGGTGTTCTCATCTCCAACGTCCCTAGAGCCAGAAAGATGCACAGTGTCCCCGCCATCTCCTTAGAGAGGACATGAGAGCCCCCTCCCCGTTCACAGACCTAATTCTCTTCCCGGCCCCTGTCCTTTGCCTCCCCAGCTCACGCCCCAGCTTGCCAACTCACAACCCACGTGATCCAGGAGGAGAGGAAGCAGTGGCCAGCACCGTGCCTGTCACATAGTAGTTGCCCAGTAAACAGCTGGCCGACTGAGTGCAGGAGCAAACGAGAGAGCCAGTGCCCTGGCAAGGGCACAGGGGCCCAGGTGCAGAGGGGCCCTCCAGGCAGGGCCCCGCAGGAGTGGGCAGGGCTGACCTGGGCCAGGCCCCCTGGAAGAAGCGGGCTGCTGGGAATAGACTGGGCGTCCGGGGAGAGCAGCTTGGCTGGGAGGTGGGGTGAAGGCTGAGACCAGAGGCCAGCTCCTTCCACAGACAGCACTCCCCAGGCACCTGGGGACCCTGGCTCAACACCCCTGCACCCAGGCTTCCTTCTCGCCAGCATGCCTCCCCCACTGCCCAGAGCTCTGCACTAGAGGTGACGGCTAATCTGAACACATTTCCAGGTCAGCGTAAACTGACCAGGAAAAGATATATCCCCCCCGGCCCCTCCAAGCTGAAAGCACTAATGTGTGTACCTGAGTGCACACACACACAATCTCTCATACACACACACACACACACACACATGCTCACACACCATCTTGGTTCAGTGAGAATGTCATCATGGACTTGGTCTGGTACTAGGAGTTTGCGCCCTATTGGAGCTGCAGTGGACACTTCCACCCAGGTCTATGCAGTTCTCCCAGGACTTACAACCCATCTTAGATGAAATTGCCTCCAGACCTGCCTCATCACCCCTTCTATGTTGCAAACTCCTTACAAGCAAAGGATCCAATGAGATGCATTTTTCCACACCCCCCAATACTCAGGTGTCAACAAATACTTGTGGAGTGAATGACAATTTCCAGAAACAAGAATAAAGAAACCAGTTGTGAGACATTGAAAATAGATTCAATTCCAAAGAGTTCTCGAGGTCCATAATGTTTGATAATTTCTAAAATAATGGATTTCACTTTTTACCAGATTTTTGGGTGGAAATACAAATGGCTAAATTTAAGGAGGAAATGTGACATTAAGCTGAAGGCTGAATATGGAGCAAAAGACCAAAGAAAAGTGGAGCAGGGGGAGAATCTCTGTGTGATGTGAATGAGCTGTCTGTTTCCTCTCGCTTCCAGAACAATGGAGCTCACCATTGATGTCAATGTATGTGAAGAAACAAAAGGTCTTTGGGGGCTTCCCCGGTGGCGCAGTGGTTGAGAGTCCACCTGCCGATGCAGGGGACGTGGGTTCGTGCCCCGGTTCGAGAAGATCCCACATGCCGCGGAGCGGCTGGGCCCGTGAGCCATGGCCGCTGAGCCTGCCCGTCCAGAGCCTGTGCTCCAGGACGGGAGAGGCCACGGCAGTGAGAGGCCCGCGTACTGCCAAAAAAAAAAGGCTTTGGGTGTGGTCAGGGTGCAGCTGAGCCTGGATTTGGTTGGGTTTGTGTATGTGTATTTAGGGAGGGGGACGGGGAGGACGTCAATGTCAGAGAAACAGGAGGGGCCACTCTCACCAAGGAGTGTGCGGCACGCAGCAGGCCTGCTAGGACTTATGTGGGAAGGATTGTCCTGATGAACTTGGCATTGCTCCGCTTTGCATCTGTGTGTGATGAAGTTGCACACACACCTTGCCCAGGAGAGGGAAAGAAGTGACGTGCACATAGGAAATACTGAACGTGCATTTGGCTTTGGGAACAAGCAGCTTGGTTTGTTGCAGGCCACCAGATCATAACTCTTCCCTCCCTCCCATCCCTCGTCCCCAGGAAAGCCCAGGAAGAAGAATGGACAAATGGAGGGAGATTCTACAGGTCCCTTCAGCCCTTCAGAGCCCAACCAGCCTCGCCCATCAGACCCTGCAGTTTCAGTGGTTAAGAATACGCCTGCCAATGCAGGGGACACGGGTTCGAGCCCTGGTCCAGGATGATCCCACATGCCGCGAGCAACTAAGCCCTTGCGCCACAACTACTGAGCCTGAGCTCTAGAGCCCACATGCCACAACTACTGAGCCCGTGCGCCTAGAGCCTGTACTCTGCAACGAGAAGCCACCGCAGTGAGAAGCCTGCGCAGAGCAACCAAGAGGGGCCCCCCGCTCGCCGCAACTAGAGAAAGCCCACGCGCAGCAATGAAGACCCAACGCAGCCAAAAATAAATAAATTAATTTAAAAAAAAAGAACACCCTCCTTTTCCAAAGGCCTTTCCCACTCTTCAAGCGCTGCCTCCTCCATGGAGCCTCGGGCATGACTCTAGCCCCGGTTAATTTATGATCCATACCGCCCAATTTAGTATTTGATTAAGTTCCCTTTTCATGAGACGTCCTTTCTCCCTAATGACGTGGTTGGGGGCAGAGACAACATCATTTATTTCTTTTGTACATACTTCCAGTAACAAGGACCCTATTTGCTGAACCAAACCTTGCGACACATGATCTGAAAAATAAGAAAGGCCACCTGGAGGCTAACTGTCCTGGCAGATCTGGGACAAGTGTCAATCTCAGTGGCCTGGGTGGGCGTGCACCGGGAGCTCCTGCAGGGCCGCCCAGTCTCCGGGGCAGCTACAGCGCCTAGCGATGAATGAGAGTGAGTAAATGAATGAATGTGAATGAGTGAATGAAAGATATCTTCGGGGGGCGCGCCTCTGGCCGGTTGCTCAAGGTGACAGTCTCTGGGGGCCTGGGCTTCAGCGGGGGTTCGGCTGCCCGGCGGGCCGGCGCGGGTGCACAGGAGCCCCAGTCCCGCGCCCAACTCCCCCCGCCCCGCGGTGGTACGCGCCACTCCGCACTCCCTGAGCCGGCGGACCTGAGCTGTCTTGAATGGAAGGCACCAAGGCCGGAAGTGGAAGGGCCCACTCGGGAGGACAAGGAGGGGGGCACGAGCGCGCCGCGTCTTCATTGAGGAACCGAATCTGTGAACATGGAATTCCATGTGCGTCTTATGTAAAGAGAGCGACGGGCGCAGCATCCAATGGACGGGCGGCGTTTGCAGGCCCGGCCCCCCTGGTATGCAGATGAGGCGGCACCCCGGCCAATGGCGGGCGCCGGGGGCGGGCGCGGCGAGCGGTCACGTTTTCCACTATGTGACAGTGGCTAGTCCCCGGCGGCGACGGAGGCGGGCGGCCCTGCGGAATCAGTTCAGCTTTTGGCGGCTGCAGCGGCGGGGTCGGAGGGCGACTAGCAGACGGGCTGGCGGACAGGCGAGGGCGCGGCTCCGGTGAGTGCGCGGCGCGGCGGGAAGGGCGAGCCAGCCTGGGCGCCGACTGGCGTCCGGCCGCTGGTTACGTAACCGCCTCCAGGCCGGCCCCGGCCCCGGCCTCGGGCTGGCGGTCTGGGGTCTCGGCGGGCGGGCTGCGGGAGGCGGCAGAGGATCCTCTAGCCCACGGATGCACGATCCGAGGGTTTCCTGGGCGCTTTTACTCCTCGTCTTGAAACCAGCCTCCTCGTCTCTTGAAACCGGCCTGGGGTGGGGACTGTTATTCCCATTTTGCAGATCAAGAAACTGAGGTCCAGAGTGGTTAAGCCCATGTCTGAGGTCACAGAGCTACTGAGTGGCTATATGTCGGACTGTCCTTCTCTAGATGATTTTCTTTTATGAACCCTCCTCTTCTCCCTCCCTGACCCCCTCCCTCCCCCCGCACCCCCGTGGGAGAAGGCTGAGAAAGGCCAAGGCAACTGAGGGTCAGTGCGACAGTCCCTGGGAACATGGAGGGACCCTTGGGGAGCCAGCTTCCTGCTCTGAGGCCACAGAGTCAAGTCTCTGGCTGGGGAAAGGCTACTGCTGGGCACTAGTCTAGGAGCCCTACCTGGACAGCCCATGGGTCCCCTGGAGTGGGTGAGTAGAGAGACAAGACAGTTCCTGGGCCGAGCCAGGCCTGAGCACCTTTGTTCATCCCCTTTGCCCACCCTGGACCGCTCTGTATTTATTCTCTCTCCCCAGGTTGGGTGGAAGAAGGGGGAGGGTTGTACTTTGTGATGTAGCAATCCCATTAACCTTCTGGGGGGTACTTTGGCTGCCAAGTCCTGGACAGGAGCCAGGGGGTGGGTAGTGGCCTGCTTATCCCTCCAGGAAGGCCAGGATAAGGGATGACAACTCGGTTACCAGGGTTCTGATATACAGAAGAAACCAGTTTGGAAGGCTGATTCATACTCACAGAAAAAAAGAGCCAGAAGGTACCCTGGAAATCACCCAGGGTAACCCCTTAGCTTGACAGATGAGGAAACTGAGGCCCAGATGCCTGCTGGGCACACATCACGGCAGGGCCAGGCCCAGGCTCAGGGTGCCTGCAGTGTCTTTCCATTGTCCTGAAGGTCTTGATCTGGGTCAGGATGAGCTTCAGAAGTTCTGTTGGGTGCTGCTGAATCTTGAATGAGCTGGAGTTTAGGGAGAGGGGCCTCAGGCCCCCCAAACGTTAAGAACCCTAGCACCATGGCAGAAGCCCCTCCATGAATACCTCTCCCCTCCCACGTCCAGTGCAGCAAGGCCACTGGCCTTCTCTCTACCTGCAAAGGGGAGATGCCCATCCCCTGTCCCCAGCCGGGGTTTCTGGTCCTGGGCTGGTTTGGCTGAAGAGGGAACAGAACTCTACCTGAAGGCTTTCACTGGAAATTGAGCTTTTAAATACAAGGCTAATGACTTTTTATAAGGCATCTGAGTAAAATGAGGAAAGGGACTCCTTTTTCTCAAGTGGGAGCTACGTGATATGCCAACAGGGATGGAACCGTGGGTGTTCGCAGTTATCTTGTCGCTGTCATCTTGGTGTGATTCACTGGTACAGAACCAACACAGCCCTGGCTTTCTGTGGAGGCTGGGGCGCTGGTGAGGAGGCGGGGTGGCCTGTCACCAGCCAGCGGGCTGCTGCTGGCTGACTCAGCTCCACCCTGGGGCTGGTCTGTACAGCAGGGCTCAGGGTAGGCGATCTTTGAGGTCTGTTTCCATCCCTAGCTTTTTGGATTCCTGTTACTCCACAGGTGATTTCCTTAGGCACCTACACAGGAGACACAAGTTTCTGACTCTGGGGCACATAATGTTACCCTGTGAGGCTTAGAAGGAAACAGGAAAAATTCCTCTCATTTGTACTATTTCTCAATCACATTTAACTTTCAGAAAAATGCTGGTGGGCACGCCTCTGTTTTTAAATGATGATGTAACCTGACGGGGCTTCAGCAAATCACAGGCTCTGGCAGGTCACTCAGTCTCTGGCGGGACCTCTCAGCATGCAGTCCAAAGAGAGAGTGACGCTGAAAACTACCATATTCGGCAAAACTAACTAGAAAGACATAACCTGGCGTCTCTGCAGATGCTCTGCACCCCTGCCCAGTGACAGGTTGTCCCACCTGCCAGCTCACAGAGCACCAGAAAGTCTGGACAGGGCCTCTGATGGGCCTGCCCGGAAGCTCTTCTGTGAAGCCCTCCTTTCTTTTCAGCTCTGTGCTCTTTGCAGGCACCTCTGTAACAAGTTTGCTACTGTATTTCCAAGTCTAGAGCAAATTAGAAGCAGTGAGCGTCCCAGCAGTGCAGGTCAGGGCGAGGCCAAGGCCGCTGTGTTATCAGAGGCGGGCAGTTCTGAAGGTGGTGGGGCTCTCAGCTGAGTGCCGGACCCTCCCCAGGCCCCGAAGGCTTTGAGAATCCTAGCACGCTCCCTGGGGTGACAGAACAATCAGAACAGCTGGACTATTCCCAGGCCTCCCCATGCCGAAGCCAGGAAGCTGCTGCCTTTGCATTATTGTTGTTTTAAATTTTGTGCTTCTCCGTATGTGAGGTTTTAAAGGCAGAGCTGAGAGTGTTTGAAGGGGTCTTAGTGCGGCGGAGACAAGCCTCTCCCCAGCCATCTTCCCTTCCATATTTGGACAGCTGCAGTCATTTTCCTCGGTTACCAGCCGTTTCCATGGAGAGTTGCGGGTGTTTATTCAGCAGGACAAACATTTTCTCCAGATTACAGCAGGCTGGCCTCCGGGAATTGGCTCCTACCAGGAAGTAGCAACCGTGTTATAATATTGGGGGTTGTAAAATACCGAGGTTTGCAGAAACAAAGTACAGGCTGTGACATCCCTGTTACATAAAGTTCGGAAACAGGCAGAATGAACCAGGCTGTGAGAATTCAGGGTCACGGGGCCCTGGGGTGGGAGGGGGAGGGGTGGGGGGACCACCCGGGGCCCCTGGGGGCTGGCAGCATTTTGCCTCCGGGGCTGGGGGCTCAGTTTGTGGACATGGAGCAAGGCCTTACCGTCTCAAGTATCTTCCATTTCAAATCATTGATCGTCTTAAGTGATTGAACCTACACTGCTTTCCACTTTCCACAGAGAAATGCACGTTCCCCCTTAGACTCAGGGGTACTGAGTGCAGGGAGCCTTTACCAGTCCTGGCAGTGGCAGTGGAAGGTGGCCCTGGGGCCCAGGCTGTGTTTTTGTTCTCCTTTTTTTTTTTTTTTTTTACTATTTATTATGGAAACTATGAGTACACGTGCAAGTAGAGAGGACAGGGTAATGAACCCATAAGCCAGCTCGGGTCTTGGCCCTTCTCCTTCTGTATCCCTGCCATTTCCTTCCCATCCCAAATACTGTGAAGCCATCCCAGATGAAGATCTCATCGTGGACGGCACTTTCTAAGTGTTCCTCTGTCCAGTCAGGGCAGCCATCACTGCTGCAGGTGTGGTCAGGGGCCCGGAGTCAGGGGTGCGAGCTCAGCTCCTTTCCCCCGGTCTGACCGTTTTCCGGGGCAGAACCCATGTGTGGATGACTGAGAAGCAGCCGCGATGGGCCTCTAGCATTAGGCACTCGAGCTCATGCCCAGCGGCACACCCAGCTTCCCCACAGCCCCTTTGCAGCAGGGCTGTCCTTTCCTTCGCGGGGCCCCTGGGCTCACGAGGACACCCCACTGCCCTGGTGGAAACACAGGTTTCCCAGGGCTTCCTTGGGGCCCTGGCAGTGCTGGCGCGAGCGGATGCTCAGTGGACGTTGGTGGAAGGCAGGAGGCAAAGTCTGCTTTGACGGGCACGTTGGTTTTGCCGAATTGGCAAAATGCGGTTGGTCAGTTAGAGCTGTCAGTGCCGAGTGACGTGTTTTTCTGGAATAATGAAGCTCAGATGGTTTGGTTTGTTGTTTCCCGTTTCTGCCATGCTTGCCCTACCCTCTTAGCAAAAAGATTTACCTTCCACCGAAGGTCATCTTGTGACCCCTGCTCGATGAATCCTACTCAGACAGGCTCCCAGGGGTGGGACTGGTGAAACCAGGAGGCCCTCCGGGGAGCTGAGCGGCAAGCCTGGGCGAGCGTGGAAGCAAAGCGCGCGATGCACCCACCAAGGGTCGTCCGCATCGCCTGGGGCGGCCAGAAACAGCGCTCGTGACAATGCAATAGCAACTTTTTTTTTTTAATTTGCTTTTTGTTACGCTGTCTCTTTTCCTCTAGTGATTGGCAGTGATAGTGAAAGCCAGCCTTTGCTGGACACTTACTGCATTCCAGATACCGCACTGCTGTCCTTTAACCCTCCGAGCAACCAGTAGGAGGCAGGTGCTGCTGCAGCCCCATCTCACAGATCAGGAAGCGAGGCCCCAGGACGTGTAGGAACTTGCCCAAGGTAACGGCCAGGAAGTGGAGGAACCCGCCAGAGGCCCTGCTGTCCAGAGTCTGCTCATTAGTCCTCTGCAGCTGCCCTGTCACCTTCATAACTTACCCAGCAGAGGACCAGCGCTGCTGCTTGTCTGGGGAGGGCTGTGGGATGGGACAGGTGGTGTCCAGGGAGTGGAGGGGACAGAGTGAATGTCCTCTGCACCCTGGGTGGCCCAGAGCCCCCTTAGAGGTGTCCTGGCTTCCACCTTGCCTCTACCCTGTGGCCCTGCTAACACGTGAGTCATACCTTGTTGCACAGGACTCTACAGCAGTTCCCACCTCACTCAGAAAAAGCCAGGGCCCTGGCTCTGCCCTGCGAGGTGCCACATGACCTGGCTCTGACCTCACATCAGCTCCTACCTTCTGCCTTGCCCTTTCTGCTCCAGACTCGTCCATTGTCCTCAGACCCATCTGCCTCAGGACCTTTTCATGTGCTGTCCTCCTGCCTAGAATACTCTTCTTCCAGCACCCTCCTGGCCCATTCTGTCACTCTCTTCAGTCTGTCTTAGTTTGGGTTCTCTTAAAAGCAGAGTGCGGGCCGAGGCTTAAAGGCTAGTGCTTCTGGCAATCAGAGAAGAAAAAGAAATAAAAGGAGTACAAATTGGAAAAGAAGAAGTAAAACTGTCACTGTTTGCAGATGACATGATGCTATACATAGAAAATCCTAAAGATGTCACCAGAAAACTACTAGAGCTAATCAATGAATTTGGTAACGTTGCAGTATACAAAATTAATACACAGAAATCTCTTGCATTCCTATACACTAATGATGAAAAATCTGAAAGAGAAATTAGGGAAACACTCCCATTTACTATTGCAACAAAAAGGATAAAATACCTAGGAATAAACCTACCTAGAGAGACAAAAGACCTGTACGCAGAAAACTATAAGACTGTTGAAAGAAATTAAAGATGATACCAACAGATGGAGAGATATACCATGTTCTTGGATTGGAAGAATCAATATTGTGAAAATGACCATACTACCCAAAGCAATCTACAGACTCAATGCAATCCCTATCAAATTACCAATGGCATTTTTTTACAGAACTAGAACAAAAAAATCTTAAAATTTGTATGGAGACACAAAAGACCCCGAATAGCCAAAGCAGTCTTGAGGGAAAAAAATGGAGCTGGAGGAATTAGACTCCCTGACTTCAGACTATACTACAAAGCTACAATAATCAAGACAATAGGGTACTGGCACAAAAACAGAAATATAGGTCAATGGAACAGGATAGAAAGCCCAGAGATAAACCCATGCACCTATGGTCAACTAATCTATGACAGAGGAGGCAAGGATATACAACGGAGAAAAGACAGTCTCTTCAGTAAGTGGTGCTGGGAAAACTGGACAGCTACATGTAAAAGAATGAAATTAGAACACTCCCTAACACCATACACAAAAATAAACTCAAAATGGATTAGAGACCTAAATGTAAGACCGGACACTATAAAACTCTTAGAGGAAAACATAGGCAGAACACTCTTTGACATAAATCACAGCAAGATCTTTTTCATCCACCTCCTAGAGTAATGGAAATAAAAACAAAAATAAACAAATGGGACCTATTGAAACTTAAAAGCTTTTACAAAGCAAAGGAGACTACAAACAAGATGAAAAGACAACCCTCAGAATGGGAGAAAATATTTGCAAACGAATCAACGGACAAAGGATTAATGTCCAAAATATATAAACAGCTCATGCAACTAAATATTAAAAAAACAAACAACCCAATCCAAAAATGGGCGGAAGAACTAAATAGACATTTCTCCAAAGAAGACCTACAGATGGCCAAGAAGCACATGAAAAGCTGCTCAACATCACTAATTATTAGAGAAATGCAGATCAAAACTGCAATGAGGTATCACCTCACACCAGTTAGAATGGGCATCATCAGAAAATCTACAAACAACAAATGCTGGAGAGGGTGTGGAGAAAAGGGAACCCTCTTGCACTTTTGGTGGGAATGTAAATTGATACAGCCACTATGGAGAACAGTATGGAGGTTCCTTAAAAAACTAAAAATAGAATTACCATATGACCCAGCAATCCCACTACTGGGTATATACCCAGAGAAAACCATAATTCAAAAAGACACATGCACCCCAGTGTTCATTGCAGCACTATTTACAATAGCCAGGTCATGGAAGCATCCTAAATGCCCATGGACAGACGAATGGATAAAAAAGATGTGGTACATATATACAATGGAATATTATTACTCAGCCATAAAAAGGAACGAAATTGGGTCATTTGTAGAGAAGTGGATGAATCTAGAGACTGTCATACAGAGTGAAGTAAGAAAGAGAAAAACAAATATCGCATATTAACTCATATATGTGGAACCTAGAAAAATGGTACAGATGAACCGGTTTGCAGGGCAGAAATTGAGACACAGATGTAGAGAACAAACATATGGACACCAAGGGGGGAAAGCAGTGGCAGGTGGGGGTGCTGGTGTGATGAATTGGGAGATTGGGATTGACATGTCTACTGATGGGTATAAAATGGATGACTAATAAGAACCTGCTGTATAAAAAAATAAATAAAAGAAAATTCAAAAATTAAAAAAAAAACCCAAAACACTAGTGCTCCCCTGGGAGGTGCAATCCCAGCACAGCTGGAGTGAGGAAGAGGGGAGTGCAGAAGAGAAGGCTGTGACACACGCACACGCACACGCACACACAGGCACACGTGCGTTGACACCCTGCTTCACAGACACTCAGCTGGCCGCTCAGCCCCTTGGGGCCTCATCCAAAAAACTATCAAAAAAAAAGGAAGGAAGGACACAAAGAAAAGCTCCAGGACAGTCTGTTCGAGGGAGGGGTGGAGAGGGATGGGTGCTGTGGTCCGAGCTCACCCAGGGAGTACAGTCTCCCGGGGTTCCGGCTGCCTCACCGGCCCTTCGGCAGCAGTGGGGGAAGCAGGGCGCACCCCGTGGTGTGGCGCTTCATCCACGGTCACGGGCATCCGGCAGAGCCAGAGTCTCCTGATGACCTCAGGTGTGGTACCAGGAGGGCCGCGTGGGCGTGTGCCTAGCAGTGGCCGGCGGGGAGGGAGGGGCTGCAGGCCGTGGGGAGAGGGAGGCCAAGGGGCTCTGAATCACCACCACATGGGGGTGCAAGGCCAGACATCACTTACCCATGGGCCTTCCCTGGCCACCCTTCCCAATTCACGCCGCTGCTCCCACACGCCTCCTGGACTCCGGCTCTGCGTCCTTCTCTTAGCACTTACCCTAATGTGCTCTACGCGTCGCTCCCGTCTTGATGGTCTGTTTTCCCCACTAGAATGTAAGCTCCGTGAGGGCAGGAAAGATGGCTGTCCCGTTCTCTGCCGGCACGGTGGCCCTCGGTGCTGTGCACAGAGCAAGTTGATCAGCAGAAACAGCCCTGGAGCAGTGCGGGCGCACGCCGAGCCCTGCCAAGTGCTGCCTGTCATTTTTACCGTCGCTCCCGCTGTTCTGTGACTTGTCCGTTTACGCCGCAGAGTCTTCCCACATCAGTGTGTCTGGTCTCCGTCTTTTTGATGGAGTACATAGTATTCCACAGTGCAGATGTCCCAGAGTTTATGCCTTCACACCACGTGCCAGGCCCTGGGGTACAGCCGTCAGCAAAAGCGCCCACGCGTCAGTGTGCAGTTGGGCAGTGTCGGTGCCACAGGAGAGAAAGCCAAGAAGGGGATGCAGGGCTGGCAGGGCCGGGGAGAAGGCACAGCTGTTTGTGCAGGACGGTCAGGCCATCTGCCAGACAAGTGCTGCGGGCACCAGGGAGCAGCAAATGCAAGGTCCCCGAGGTCGGAGCACAGTGCCTGGGCCAAGGGGGTGGCTGCAAGGGAGATTCCAGGAGGCAGCTGGAGGCCTCGCTGAGCTGTTGACCCCTGTGCAGAGCAGGGCTGAGCTCTGTGCCCAGGGGAGAGAGGAGCTCACTTGCCCTGTGTGGACCGCAGTGGGGTCAGGTGAGGCAGGGGGCCCAGTTTGGAAGTTGCCCTGGACAGGATGCGGGTAGACTTCTTGCTGGTGGTTCTTTCCAGGTTTTTCTTCCTCCAAACCCCGTGCTCACACGTCTCTGTGCATGGACGAGCATTCCCACGGAGCAGCTTCCTAGGAGGGGGGAGGGGGAGGGGCTGGGGTGTAAGCATTGCTAGACACGCCCAGAGACCCCCCAGGAAGACTTCGTTAGTCCAACACAGTGCACAGGAGTCCTGCTCCTGGCCAACCCAGGATGCTGTCGGTCCTGTTAGATTTTGGAAACCTCGTGCTTTGCGTTTTCCTCGTGTCTAAAGGTTGGGCATCCTTCCAGGTTTATAGCTCTTACCTGGTGTTTCTCTTTGTGGGAACAGTCTGTCCTTAGTCTTTGGTCTCTCTCTTCCCAGATGTTAGTTCCCAGATGTTAGCACCTTTCATTCTTTCATCGAATTAGCTAGAACTTCCCTGAAATGTTGAAGACCGAGCAGTAGACTTGCTTATTTTGTTCCTGACTTTCACTGCAAAGAGCTGGCGTTTGAGGTTCTCTGTGATTCGGGACCAATAAACAGCTTCCGTCTAAAGCCATAGCAAGATCCTCTGAGACTTCCTGCCTGTGGCCGTGACCGTCTCCTCTCAGAGTGTAGAGACTTTATCTTCTGAAAATTTAACATTACAGCAGAGATGTCCAAGACTAGCGTGACTTAGCATCCTTGCAGGTAACCTGTTTTTCCTGTTGGGATGTGGGTAGAATTTTCTTTTTTCTTGAAAGCATCATTTTCATCAGGACATGGATGGGCTTTGACACTCCTCACATAATTCTGCCTGGTCCTCAGGGAGTCCTGCAGCTGCAGCTCTGCCTCCAGGATGGTTTCCTTCACGTGTATCTTTCACTGTAGTTTCTGTTTCATTGCTATGGTGTCTTTTTCAGAAAGAGATGTTATCTGCAGGTAACAATGTGCCTCTAACATCAGCCCTTTCCCTGGGCGTGTTTAAAAGGTTTCTCACTCTCATCCTCCCGTCGCTGAGTCTGAACTTTAGCTTTCTAATTGTCTGTTGTAATGTGACATTTCCACTTCAGTCTGCGGCTTTAGCTCATCCTTCATTACGTGTTTCATCGAATCTGTCGTTTTTTGACTTTCGCTTATGGTACAGAGTTGGTGCTGTCCTAAGTTTGCTTGTTTCCTCGTGCCGTGGAGGTTGTGTGCATCTTGTCTTCATTGTACTTCTTTTCAGAAGCTGCATGTTGGCTCTTTTCTGTTTATCTGGTTCATGAACAAGACAGGGTCTGATTGGACCTGCTGTTTTCCAAAGCGTAATGTGGTTGGGTTCTGCGCGGGTCCCCATCTTTGGCGGGTGAGGGAGCCTGAATCCGGCACTGTCTCCTGCTGTATGTGGCCTCAGGCAGCTCACCGGCCTGTTTGCCCATCCCTGGAAGGGAATGCTGGTGCGCCGCGGATGGCGATCATGAGGGTTACACATCCTCAGCACAGTGTCCACAGAGGCCTCCCTGCGGCCTCTGGTCCAGGTGCCTGAGCGCAGGGAAGCTGCAGGGGCACATTCTGCTTTCTGGGGACCCCCCTCGGTGAAGGTGCCGCTGCCTGGGCCTCCAGATCTTCCCCCGCTGCTCGGTGACCGAGGCTGGCCTTTGGAGACTGTGTCAGTGGGTCCCTTTGCCTTCCGGCTTCCTGACCTCCGAGCTCAGGAGGTTGATGCCCCCCACGGGCCGCAGGTTGTCTGGGCGCCTCTGGTTTCAGTAGCCCTCCTCTTCCTGCCCCTCCAGGCCCAGAGAAGGTAACAGCTCCCTCCCCCTAACCGGTTGCCCCCGAGCTGCACATCATTTGTAGTTTCCTTAACCCTGACCACGCCCTTTCATGCCGGGCCTTCCTCGACCTCCCCGCTGGTGTGCATGAGTGCCTGCTTCCTCCCGGGACCTCGCAGGGGGGCACCATCCCAGGTCCTGCTTTTACCCTGTGACGTCTAAGTCTCCCGTCCTTAGGCTTCTGGTCAACCCCTCCTGCCCTGGCTACTCCCTGTCTTTACTCATCCCCGCCTGTGGCCGGTTGGTCTCTCATTTCAGCCCCGCTCCATCCACCTACCCCCAAAGCACCAAAGCTAAACTTGCTGTCCAAACGCAAGCGAAGTTATAGGAATTTCTGCTTCCAGTGCTCCAGCGGCTCCTCGTCAATCCCAGATAACTCCACGCCGGCCTCGTACTGGTACCTCCACCTCCCCACCCCTCCCGCTCGGCTGGACCCCCCTGTGCCCGGACCCCCTGCTGCTGTAAGGGCCCCCGCCGCTCTGCCCTCCTCACGCAGTGACGCCTGCTCCCCGAAGCCACATTTCTCCCTGGCCCGCAGCCTGGTTCCAGGCTCTGCCCCTGCCCACAGCCTGGTTCCAGGGCCTCCTGTAACTTGTGATGGCCAAGATTTCTGAACCCCGCTGCCCCTGCACACTGCCTGGGGAGGCCGTCAGCAACTTGGTGTCTGAGGCAGCGGCCACCTGATTCACGCGCCTTCGCAGTTCATGGCAGGTGGGAGCCCTGTGGATACGAGCGCAGAAGACCCACGATTGACGGCACCTCCTGCCGGCTCCTCCAGCGAAACGTGGAGAGAGATTCCCACGGGACGCTTCACCTGATGGCCGCACGACCCCCTGCCCCCTGAACCTGATGACCTTCTCTTGTTTGCCAGCATCACTCAGGAGCCAGCATGAACGGATGCGCTGACTACGCCCCCAGCCCCAGTGACCCTTCCAAGGAGCCTGTGGAGCCCTGGCCCAGCCAAGCCCCCCTCCAGGAGGACGTGGACATGAGCGACGGCACAAGCAGGAATGAAACCAACGAGAACGGCTCGACGGGGCGGGACTCACGGGGCAGCAACTGTGACGACAGCGGCCGGGAGCTGGGGATGCTGGTGGGGCCGCCCGGCACCTGCCAGGGGTGGGTGTGTCTGAGGCCCCCAAGGCGAGGCTGGGCATTTGTTTTCTCAGTGTCTCATTCCGTGCTATTGCGATTACTTTTGCAGTCTTTAAATCTTGATGACCAAGTTTTTTAAGACTTCTGAAAATCTTATTGACTCAGAATAACTAAAATTTGCTAGGGTCTGTCCTTCCTTATGACGGTGATTTTGGGTGTCAGACCGCCAGTAGCTAGACACGTAGCACGGTGACCAGATCTTGGGAGGCGGAAGAGTCAGGGAACCCCTCGAGCAGCTACTGAACCGACGCCCTGTGGTTTATAGAAAGCGAACTTCTCCTCTAGTCTTGGGTTTATATCCCCCAGTACTTAGTTTCTCCGGTGTCCAGAGGTTTCTTGTTCTTTTTCTCTTAAGCTCGTATTTTTTCCTAATTGACTTACTGTGGTGTAATGCAGCCCGTCATCGCTGGGTGGATGGGGGGAGAAGTGGATGGACACACTCTTCTGAGTTTGGCCTTTATTTTTTGTTCTTTTAGTCCAGGTACATTTAGCGTGATGATGGTGAAGTCTGAGCACCACCCGTCCACAAGTGGCTGCAGGTAAGACCAGTTAGAACTCCCTCAGTTTAGAGCCTTTAGAGAGATGGAAAGATTTGTCATGAGATAAGGTTTTGGGGGTGATGCAACTTTTTTCAGGCTTCTGCTAGAACCTGTTAGTCTGAGCAGCTGTCTGCCTTGTGAGCCCAGCCGCGCCCTTTCAGACGACCGTCCCCACGGGCCGCTCACAGCCCCTGATGTTGCCCCAGACCTGTAGCTGCTCAGCTCTCGCTAAGCAGACCTTGTCTGCGTCTTGGACGTGTATCTGGAACACGCACTTTTTTTTACGTGTTTGTAACAAACGTGTCCTTAATTTCATATTCACATCCCCACTGGAGCAAAATCCTGATCTCTGTCCTGGGCATATGGGGCCTTTGCCATCACCACCCGAGAGGCCTGACCCCGTCACTCTCTCGGTGCCCTCTGTCTAAACAGGCCCATCTCCCCCAGCAAGTGCCGCCTGCCCCTCCTCCTGCCCCTTCCACGTCCTTGAGTTTGAAGATCCTCCGTATAAACCCCCTTTCCTCTCCAAGGCTTCACACGTCATTTATGTCCTCGCCCCAGGATGCCACTGTGCTGCCCTCTGGGGTCTCCGTCGCTGTCTCCCTCTCTGTCTGAGATGGGGGTAGGCAGAGTTCAGCAGTGGGGCCTGCTGGCCGGGCTGTGGGTGGACCAGCAGGGGGGAGGGCACCCTCCAGCATTCACCTGGGTCAGAACACTGGTTCTCCCGGGCAGTTCCTCTCCCCGTGAGAGACACGAGGCGATGTCTGCAGACATTCGTGGTTGTCACAGCTGCTGGGGGCTGCTGCATCCTGCATGCCCACCCAGGACCACGTGGACCACAGTGTCCTCGCACCCTGGTGGAGAAACTGGACCAGAGGCACGTTTCTTCCGAAAAGGGCACTTAGGGTACTGACGTTTTTCTTTAACTCCGTAGCAGCGAGCAGTCCACCAAAGTGGATGCCCACAAAGAGCTGAACAAAACGCTGAAGGAGCTGAAGGTCCACCTCCCTGCGGACAAGAGGGCCAAGGGGAAGGCCAGCACCTTGTTGACCCTCAAGTACGCCCTGAGGAGCGTGAAGCAGGTGAAAGGTACATCCGCCTCACATGTTTGTTCCAACCTGTAGAAGTCGGTTTCACGTCTCCCCAAATTAGAGCTTCAGTTGTGTTGATTTTCTAAATTTCAGTCCTGAAGTAGCAGAAGGAAGTTGGGGAAGTCTGATGAAATCTCAGCTGGTTGGAAATCTCAGTTCATTGGAAGTTTTCTGTTGTACTTTTAGAGGAAAAAAAAGCAGGTAGAAAACCAGCTGATAAAAGAAACCTATTTACAACATGAAGCTTTCGTGCTCGTGCCCGGGGCTGGGGTCAGGTCACGTTCAGGAATGTCCAGCACCTTCCAGGCTCTGGCTGGAGAGTTGTGACGTGTGTGTACGCTGGCGACGTGAAGAGCCCCCAGCATTTAGCTGAGGGCTTGCCCCTCCTTTAAAAAATAATGTGGGGGGGGGGGGCTCTCCTGGTGTCGCAGTGGCTGAGAGTCCGCCTGCCGATGCAGGGGACGCGGGTTCGTGCCCCAGTCCGGGAAGATCCCACATGCCGTGGAGCGGCTTGGCCCGTGAGCCATGGCCGCTGAGCCTGCGTGTCCGGAGCCTGTGCTCCGCAACAGGAGAGGCCACAGCAGTGAGAGGCCCGCGTACCGAAGAAAAACAAAACAAAACAAAATAACGTGAGGGGGAAGAAAAGGAAACAAACAGCAACAAAAAAAAAGGAGAAGATACAAGGAGGGTATTGCCTGATCTTATCCTTAAAGGACAGTATTTTCGAGCTGCTTCAGATTCAAGACCTTGGGCAGTTCATCTCTCGTTTTTCTAAAAATACGTGAATTTCCATCGTGGTGGTCTTTGCACCAGGAGGGCGGGCAGGCGGGACCAGGCGCCCCCTTTCCGTCACAGGCACACAGTGACAGGACCCACGTGATCCGAGTCCTGCTTACCTCTGGGGTATGTTCGGGTTTTACTGTTGGGTGGAAGAACTCGTAAGAGCTTTCAGAGCCGGTCAGTGGAATCGACTGAGGCTTTTACCTAAGATGTGTGTGCAGAACTCTTCACAGATGCAGTGCAGGAATCCACCAACACACACTGCAGATTCCAAAGGACTTGCGTCATCAAGCCGCTTTACGTTGCATAAATTCCAGGTCCCTGCCGTAACTTCCAATAGCGTGCGGTCTTCCTTCAGTTGCTCCTGTGGCTGGCCCTTCCATTGAGCTGGGGCCCCTTCCCTGGGTCTCAGGTAAACGCAGGTGCCTCTGTCTCCGGGGCAGGTAAGGAACGCACCGCTGTGGAGGGAGCACCGGCATCTCCAGTGCACTGTTCTGCCAACAGCCCATCCCCGGAGACCAGGCCCAGGACACCCACGCTGGGGGTGACCTCAGCACGGTTTAGCTGTTGAAGTCGGGCATCCTGGCTTCCCCTCGCCTGAGGGCTCCCCTCTGGGTGGAGATAGCTTTGTCACCCTGTACGGGGTGTCCCGGGATGAGTGGTCCTCGTCTTCAGTTCTGTTCTGAGCAGTTCATTCTGAAAACAGGGTTGTTTCTCATGCCCGGTGTTGCTAAGAGTCGATTCTGTCCGGATGGGAGCGTCTGACCCCCGAGGGAGCAGATGCAGGGGCTGCCACAGCTGACCTGCGCGGAAACATTGATGCTGTGTCGCGGTTACAGGCCTTTGGGGAAAGTGAGGCTTAGGCAGAACCGTGTGGTCGTGTTACCGAAAAGAATGTGTCTTTATCGTTTTAAAAATTTCTGTAATCAAAGGCCTTCTGATTTTTCAGGGAAAAGAATCCCGGATGTCTGTTTGTCTAGCCTTCACATTTCTCTGTGTTCTGTGCCCACTTTCTCATGGGAAAGGTAGAGCCCAGCCATGAGTTAGGGCCGCCCTCAGCCCTCCCCTTGGTCTCGCCTACAGCCAGTGAGGAGTACTACCAGCTGCTGATGTCCAGTGAGGACCACGCCTGCAGTGCCCACGTGCCCTCCTGCACGGTGGAAGAAATCGAGAGCGTCACCTCCGAGTTCATTGTGAAAAACGTGGTAAGTGTCCTGACGAGCGAAGTCTTCCCCCAGGAGGCTCAGCTCAGGTGGCCGAGGTCTTCACCCAGGGGAGCCGGCTGAACCTCGGTTCCATAGCAGCAGGGTGGGGAGTCTCAGGAAATGAGTTCCTTCCTTAAAAGAAAAGAAAGTCAGTCAGGGATTCCGAAGTGGCGGCCGTGTTGCCGACTTGTGCTGTTCTCTGAGGCTGTCCTCGTGCGCTGACTGCACCCCACACCCCGAGTGTGTGTGAGTGAGCCCCCCTTGACTGAGGGGGGGTGGGGGAAGGGACACACTAGGTGACTGTCAGTTCACTTGCAGGGCGGGCGCTTATGCATTTTTAAGCAACCCATAAAGGTGAGGCTTCCCTGGAGGTCTGGGGAAGGGGAGGGAGTTACCCCCAGTTCTCAATTAATGAGAGGAAACCAGAGGGCAAGTGGGGACCCAGAGGTGCGGAATCGCAGCAGTGATGGCCTGCAGAATGGGACTGCCTGGCCCTTCCCGTCTCTTTCCTCCCGTGCCCTCCCTGCAGCTTAACCCCCAGGGAGCCCCACCCCGAGCTCAGAGGGCCAGCCAGCGTGGGGAGAGCCCGTGGTGGGCCAGGGGGCCTGAGGCCTCCAGCCCGCCAGGCAGCCCTGAGCCCCGGGAGAGAGAGGAAGAGGCCCCCTTCCCCCTCCCGAATCACCCAGGCTGGACGCCAGGGAGCTCTGTGCCCAGAAGATGGAGCAGGTGACAGCTGCAGGGAATCAGCACAGCTGGGATTCCTTTTGGCAGTGGAGCCCTGATGTGTTTTTTCAGATAATATCCCCCTGGGACCCCAGTATATGTAAGAGGGGAGGCAGTTATCCTCGTCAGGGCTGAGGAGAGGGGCCCAGAGGCTTCCTCTGACCCTTCATGCGTCCTGCTCCCTTCCCGTCTGTCAGCCCCGATTCTCTGCCCTCTGGGGAGGGTGACCTGTCCAGTCCCCTCCAGCCCGGCCTCACCAGAGTCGTGTTCTCCATTCCAGGACATGTTTGCTGCGGCCGTGTCCCTGGTGACCGGGAAAATCCTGTACATCTCTGACCAAGTGGTCTCCATCTTCCACTGTAAGCGGGGCACCTTCCACGACACCAAGTTTGTGGAGTTCCTGGCGCCCCACGACGTGGGCGTGTTCCACAGCCGCACCACGCCGTGCAAGCTGCCGCCCTGGAGTGTCCGCCACCGAGCAGGTGAGGGCCCCGCGGCCGGGCTGCCTTGTCCTCTTCCACAGGCAGCGTGGGGAGGGGCCGGGCGGTGCCGCCCCCGACGTGGGGCTGCTGCCCACCTCCCCTCCGCTGGAGGCCTGCAGTAGGTCCCCATGGAGGGGCCTGAGGCTGCCCTGTCTGTCCAGGTGCAAGATTAAAGGTGGTTTGCTCAGAATACATTTAGAGAGAGAAAAAAGTCTTTTCATAAATTTCAGAAAGGGAAAACTACTTCAGAAGATTTTAAGACATGTCAGGCATTTTAGAAAGGAAGTTGATCGGAGCTGGAGTCTGGACATGCGGCTGCAGGGTCGGGGGAAGGACGGAGGTACATCTGGAAGGCTCTCTGCAGGTGGTGCAACGATGTCAGCGTAGCGGGGGGCTCTTCACCTCCACCAGAGGCCGCGCCATCCTCCCGGGCTCAGACCCCAGCCTTCCAGGCACTTCAGGCTCCAGTCTGCGCCCAGGTGGCTGCTTCCTCGGACCTCGGGTCCCCCACCCCCCCTCATGTTCCTGGCCACAGGGCTCTCACGGTCAAGTGTCGTGTGTCCTTGTCCTCCTGCAACATGGTTGGGGAGACATTGCGTCTGGAAGGCATGGAAGCTCTCTCGTGACCAGCACGGGCCTTCACATGAGTGGGTGCAGGAGGGGACCGGTTGACCAGACAAGTCTCAGCAGAAACATGGCACGGGGTCCTGGCAGAAGGTACTGGAGAGAAGAGGGTCCCCACCAGCTCAGGCCTTTCAGTGACCAGGTGGCCGACAGCGTAGGTCCTGCAGCATCCGTCCACCTACACCTTGACTGTCATCAGCTCCTCGGTGGGCTCCGATTGCTCAGAGCTGAGATGGACCCAAAGAGGAGAAGCCACGAGAGACGAGCAGGAAGCGGACGGGGCCGGGAGTCCCCCCAGAACAGCTGGGCCTCAGTCGTGATCTTCACCAAGAGCCAGCCCTGGCCACGCCACCCAAAGCTGACTCCCATCTCGTCCTTGGCTCCTGGGTCAGCATCTCTGCTCATGTCGAAACGCTCCTCAGCCCACTGTCACCACCTCCTGGATCTTGGGTCCCTGCACGCCATGGTGCTCCCAGGCAGCCGGCAGCGGGGCCGTCACTGTCACAGCCACCTTTCAGCAGCTGTTCCTCCCTGACGACAGACAGCCCGCGGCCAGAAGTGCAGTTTGCTTTGGGGTTGGCTCATTAAAGGAGACACTCGCCTGGCGCTTCAGAGGCAGAGCTGTCTGCTTTCTCCCGAAGTCCCAGCCCAAGGGCTGTGCGGTCAGATCGCTGAAGTTTGTGGTGCACGTTACTAGGACCTGTCAATGCTGGGTCACTGCGTGGAGGGAGGCAGCTCTGCGTGTGGATTCACAGCACGAACAGGCCGGCACCATCTCCCCAGGATGCTTGCCACTGAATTTTTGTCTGAATAGAAAAGAAGGACCAGGTGACTTCTTGAAGGCCTTTCCAGGCTGGAAATTTTATATCATTTTCCCCAACCAGCAATCATCTACTTCTCCTCATTTCTTTTGAGTAGAGGAAGCTTTACCTGAAAGACCAGAGTCTAAGATTTCTTTTTCTAAAATGCGTTTATTGTGGAAACACCATTCTGTCATCTCTGATGAGGTCACCCAGTCGAACTCGTGTTTTTACTAGACATTTTAAATTTTAAAGTAAGTTAATATTTAGGAAAAGGATTGATGTAAGCTGTGAAATGCCCTGAGTTGCTTCTATTAGAATTAAATATCCCCCAAAATATGTAGGTTGAAATGTCCAGGGCTTTATATGCAAAAATTCTGCACGTCAGTCAGTACGTCTTCCGCAGTTAAATTGGTCGTTAATTAGTGTGTTTGTAGCAGCGCTTTTCGCGCGGCAGAATCTGGTGAGTGCGCGCTCGTGAAATAGATTTCTCCTTAGTCAGAACTGTGGTACAAGGTCTCTGACCTAAGGGCTCTGCTCAGCGCCAGGTAAACGTGCATCCCACCTTGACTCTCAATCCTCCTGCCTCTGCCTGGTCTGTGGGAAGTAAGAGCACTGTCCCTGGTCAGTGGTGTAACTGGGTGAGTGACTGGGGCCTTTTCTTTTAGACTCTTTTACTCAAGAATGCGTGGAGGAGAAATCTTTCTTTTGCCGCGTCAGGTAAGCCCAGGTTTTCCTGAATTTCATTGCACAGACGTTTCATCATGAGGGCCTCTCGCAAAGGCGGAGGAGGTGCAGGGGTGCCCTCCGCATGCCACCAGCCGAGGCCACAAGCCTGCCCAGGCCCCGTTCTGTGGGGCTGAGGTGCTGCAGGAGCATCCCTGCCACATAGCATGAGTGTTCCTGGAAAGTCCGCGTGAAGACACGTTTCCACAAGCGGAGTTATTTGTTTTGTTTGGGGAGGGGGGGTGCCACTTGGCTTGTGGGATCTTAGTTCCCTGACTCGGGATTGAACCCAGTCTCCGGCAGTGAAAGCGCCGAGACCCAGCCACTGGGCCGCCAGGGAATTCCCGAGCCGTGTTTTAAATGTGCACAAGGTATTAAGACAGCCTAGTCAGCGCTGGCGCTTTGCCTGCTCCTTGGGGGAGTGTCGGCCTCGGGAGCCCGGACTTGCTGTCCGTGACCCAGGAAACCGGCCGGCAGCCCCCACCTGGGAAGGCATGAACCCCGTGGTCCACGAGGACCCCAGAAGCATGTGTGGCCTTTGGTTCGAGTGTACCTTTTTTCAGGGAGAGCCCCGTAGCTTTCCCAACAGGTTTTTGGCCCCAAGTCGCGTGACCAGTTGAGCATGCAGCTGCGGTATCAGGAGTGACCCTGGCCAGACACTGGCACCCTCGGAAGCTGGGGCTGGGACCCCCCTGTTGGAGCAGCATCCTCTCCCCAATTAAAATGCAAACTACTCCAGAGAAGGGCCCCTGAAGCTCCCATGACTCAGGCCGGGGACTCTCCAATTGACCCCTCACTGTCACCGGACATCTGAGGGTGAGGACAGAGGAGCAGGGTTGGGGGTTCCAGACCCTTGGGCGGGACAGAGGCACAGACCACAGACCGAGGGAGCACGTCCGGCTCGGCCTGGGTCCCCAGGTGAGGGGCCTGGCTCTGCTCTGCAGGCGTCCATGCAATAAATGAAAGGATTGCTGAGACGTAACAGCTGTCGCTGGGGGAGAGGTAACCAGCAATAAAGGAGGACTCCTTCGGTCGTAATCCCAAACCTCTCATCGTGCCCTCCTCTGCAGTGTCGGCAAAAACCACGAGAGCGAAATCCGCTACCACCCGTTCCGCATGACGCCCTACCTGGCCCAGGTGCGCGACCGGCAGGGCACCGAGAGCCAGCTGTGCTGCGTGCTGCTGGCAGAGAGGGTGCACTCGGGCTACGAAGGTAACGGCTGGCCCAGGCCGCTCCCTCCCTTCCTCCTGTGGTTCACGTACGTGTGTGAGGTGGGCTCCCGGCCCCTGCCTCTCCCCAGCCTCGGGCAGGGCCTCCATCTCCCTCAAGACTTGGCACCCACCTTTGTCACCGGGCCCTCCCTGTAGTCCCATCCACACCACCTCCCCTTGTCGGCTAAAGGCTCCGGGCCCTGGCATCTCTCACCTGGGTCCAGCCCGTCACTGGACCGTGGGTGCCTTCACCTTTCCCTGGCCACGGCCTTCCGTCCACGTAGCCTCGATGGGTCCAGGGCCCACGTCCCTTCTGTCCTCGCACTCCCCGGCCTCTGAGGTGTGGAACCCCAAAGCAGCCACCGCCTAAGAAGTAAGTGCTGGGCATTCCTCCCTGCTCACCTTGGTCCATCCCGCCTCCTGCTGGACGTCCCGCCCTCCGGTACGGCCTGGCTTCTGCGGACCAGCTGTGGAGCCTCCAGAGCCCAGCGTTCCCCTGACCCCCAGTCTCTGTCCTGCTGTTTCCTCCCCTAGGGCTCCTCCCCTCCACCTCTGCCTGTAGAAACCCAGTCGTCACAGCAGGCTTACCTCACCTGGTGTCCTTTTCTGGACCTGCTGGCTCCTCAGGCCACCCCTCCCAAAGGACCCAAGGCGCTTTGCCACGCTGCTGGTATCCTCCCAGCAGCCCCTTCTCATAGGCTTTCTCGTGGCACGGCCTCGCGCTGGCCACGAGACCTGGCCAGGAACCTAGGTCCTCGCCATGGCGACTCAGCAAGTCACTGAGATTTCAAAATTCTCTGGAAGCAGGGCCATCTGTAAGTCCTGAACCACAGGGGTCCAGTTTAGTCCAGGTTTAATTGTACTTATAATTGTCTCTCAGTGGTTAATGATGTCTTTTTTAAAAAGGCGTTTCTTAAAAGTGATAGAAATGTTTTAGGTATATGAGTTTCTTTCAGATGTTTGCTGGATTCCCACATATAGAACATTCTCTTCTAAATATTCAGTAAACGTTTAGAGGGGTTACTCAGATCTCAGCATGATCAGCATCTCCTTCAAGAATGAAAAGTTTTGGAATTTTGAATGTTTTGCCCATGAATTTGGTAGTTGAGGAAAATTCTGCATATGTGACTTCCTTTATGAAAATTACTCTTATCACCTCTGCCCACCTTAGAAACTGTGAAGTCCCAATACAATGACGTTTGCTGAGAATTTTGAATCCGAATACTTTACTCCTTTAAAAAAGATAATCTGTTCAGTTCACTATCGTTGGATCTTAAACATCATGAAGACGGCCTTCCAGCAGGATTTTGCTGAAAGAAGCCAAAACCTCACCACGTGGTTCTGCTAACATGGCAATTCCTAGCTTTCTAGACTGAAACTGGTCCACTAAGAAGTTGAGAAGCCTGGCTGGTGGTCACCAAGCGTAGGGTCTGTTCTTCACCCTTCAGTACGTGCTCTGTTGTTCAGAGTCCACTGTTAATTTTTTCTCTAGCTACCCATCATTCTGAATCTATCAACACGTGGTGTTTTCCAGTAGTTGTAGTATGACTACATAAAGTACGTATGTCTTAGAATCAGAAATCTGTGCAAAATTCTTTTCTTTCAGCCCCTAGAATCCCTCCTGAAAAGAGAATTTTTACGACCACACATTCGCCAAATTGTTTGTTCCAGGACGTGGACGAAAGGTAAGCGATGCGGCGCCGTCCCCTTGCCAGCGCTCGCCTCTGCCACGGTCCTGGCCTTGAAGTCAGTATCGCGTCTGCAGCCGGTCGCCCCCTCTCCCCAGATATTTTGTGTTTCAGCATTATCGTGGTAGTTACTTAATAACTAAATAAAGCTCAATCAATTTTCATGTTTTTGACGCTAAAGCTAAGGCTGCATGTTATGTGTAATAATCAATTAAAACATTTAATTATACATAGACAATGAGATAATTATGGAATTACACTGAAAACCTCCTAAGGTATGGATGCTGTGTAGATGGGGCCTTCTAGGGAGCTGGTCATCATTCTAACTGAGCCTGTCTTTATTACCTTGTTTAATAAACCCGTTTCAAAAATTGGGCACATGAGTAAAGGCTGGTACAACCAGGGACCGTGTGCCTGGGGCAGTGTTAGGACACCCTTGGCAGGATCCCAGCACAAGTGCATCCCCCAGCCTGCGTGCCACAGGCTGCTACAGGGAGGGGGCCACCTCGTACCTCTGCCCAGAGCCCACTCGGACTCCCCTCCTGCGTCTCCCACCCAGGGTGCTGTAGCTGGTGCCCATGGCCCCGCTGCAGTCGGGAGCACTGACCATTCTGAGAGGGCTCTGGGTTCTCTGGCATCGGGTCAGGGGCCCTGTGTGACTCCCCTGGCTCCTGGCAGACGCACGAAGACGCAGAGAATGCCGCGGCTGCCGGCGTGATCAGGGAGGAGTCTCCTGGGAAGACACACGGGAAACACGCTGGGCTTCATGCAGTGGCATCCGTGGAGGGTCAGGACCTCCTCGCAGCCGGCACCTGGCCTGGGACACGAGGTGCCCCCTCGGATGCAGGCCACGGGGCCTGCTGGACAAGTTCTGCTCTTGGACAGCCAGGGCCCATCAGCCTCCACCAGCCCCTGACTGCTCAGGTGTGCCCTGCCGGCCACCTGCGGCAGAATCTCCGGAGGGACAGCGTCGGGTGCAGGTTCCCAGGCCCCGCCCAGCCCTGCCCAACAAGATCTTGGAGGTGGGGGACTGGGAGCTGCATTTGTGTAGCAATCCCAGGATAATTTTTATTCCTCCAAAAGACTAAGAACTCCTGTCTGCAGCTGCCCCAGGTGCCCACTCATCTGTGTGCAGGAGGGCTGGTGAGCAGGTCGTTACAGGCCAGCAGGCTGCAGAGCCTTCCTCAGCAAAGCCCAGTGGGCAGCCCAGCCCACGAGCCCAGGCTGGCCGGGCCTCCCCCCTCTCCTCCGGCCAGGCCTTGGCCAGGGACATTCTGTACATCCTGTGCAAAGGAAGACACGAGGCCCAGAGAGCATGCCTCAGACAAGGAGGAGGGAATCCGAGAATGGCGCCGGGCCCGTGAGGAAGTTCCACCCCACACAGAACAGGCAGCCTTCACTCTAACGATGCAGGAGGACATCCTCCACCAGAACAGAAGGGTTTGGGAAAACAGCTGTTGGGATGAAAGAAGACGGGCCTGAGAAGGGGAAGGCCGAGCTGCAGCTCAGAAGCGGGGACGGCAACTGAGCGGGGACGGCAGAGGGTGCTGGACACACAGAGGGGACGGGACACGACAGAGGGAGGGGGGACTACAGAAGTTCAGTGCAAGACATTGCCCAGAAAGCAAAACAGCTCCCAGGGAAGCCCTGACGGGCACAGAGCGAAGGTCCCCAGCCAGTGGTGGCCACTCCTGGGGAGCCGTGGTCAATTGGACCGGACCCAGCGACCACACCTAGAGCTGGAGCAGAACACGTTGAGCTGGAAAAGACGCACACGGGCGGGGTTTTCCTGGTCCCAGCAAACTTGTTAAAAAAAAAAGTCCATGTCAGGCCACATCTAGCCAAACTCACAAACGACACAAAACAAGAAAAAGGTCTTAGGAGAAGAAAACAACATTGTCATGATCGATTCAGGAAATAGACGCAGAGCTAGAGCACTGAGCCTGTAACGGGCAGGGACTTGTAGGGCCTTATTTCCTATCGCAGACCCTCGGCGATGCTGCCGTCGTCTGTGTGCTAATTAGTTAGAAGACTGACTGTTACTTTGCTAGCATGAGACCCACATTTTGGTCTTTGGGGAATTTGGAGTCGGACTCGTTCCTGGAGGTGGTCGGCTGCCCCGTTGGGAGGCTGCGTTCTGGCTCGTGTCCTGAAGCGCAGCCGTGACCCTGTGTGCACTTGCTTTGCAGGGCGGTCCCCCTCCTGGGCCACCTGCCCCAGGACCTGATCGAGACCCCTGTGCTCGTGCAGCTGCACCCCAGCGACAGGCCCCTGATGCTTGCCATCCACAAAAAGAGTAGGTCCCCTTCTCACGGTCCTTCCCGGGGGCATGGACAAAGCTAGTGTACTCTGGGGGTGTCTTCCCGAGGTCAGCACCCACCGGGAGGGGTCCAGTGGGCTGCGGGCAAGGGGTGCCCCGCCCCCGGCCTGAGTCCCGGCGCTGTCGGTTGGTTGAGAGTCGCCCTCGGCCCGAGTCCTCGGCCACTCATCTTTTACCATTGGCTTCGCCAGCAGGCGGGAGGAGGAGAGACAGGGTCAGCTGCGGTGGGGGGTTGGGGGGTGGTCTGCCCAGGCCAGGGGCTGGACGACACATGTCCCCAGCAAGCCCAGGCCTCACCGACACAGTGACACTGAGCGTCCCACTGGCAGCAGACCTGCGAGGCTCGAAGGGAAGTGTGTCCTAAAACATGTGAGGACACTGCCGCAAACAGTCCCCAGTCGCAATTTAAAGCAAGATGGGAGATTGGAAGTGGTGGCTTTGAAGAGGTATTGGCACCTCCTAAGTGTTCAGATGATTCCAGAATCAAGTGCATCTCCACCTGTCTTTTCTTGTACCGCGAACACCGGTTGAATCTCTTCGCTCCCTGAACTCTGTTTTCGCTCTCCTAGTCGTGCAGTCCGGCGGGCAGCCTTTCGACTATTCCCCCATCCGGTTCCGTGCCCGGAACGGGGAGTACGTCACGCTGGACACCAGCTGGTCCAGCTTCATCAACCCGTGGAGCAGGCAGATCTCCTTCGTCATCGGGAGACACAGAGTCAGGGTGTGAGTGCCCCCAGTGCCCGGGGGGCTGGGAGACCAGGACCCCGGTCACCTCCCACCATGTGCTTGTGCTGACCTGCCCCCTGACCCCTGGGGGGCCCCAGCCTCGTTCAGGCAGAGCAGTGAGTGGGGGGAGGCAGGTGGCGGGCCGGGGGTCTGCAGAGAGGAGGGCGGGGCCCCGACTCACAGAGACAAATGAAAACCACGCAGGGGGCCTTTGAATGAGGACGTGTTCTCGGCTCAGACGCACGTGGAGGAGAAGGCCCTGCAGCCCGGCACCCAGGAGCTCACGGAGCAGATCCACCGGCTGCTGCTGCAGGTGGGTGTGCTGCCTGCACGCCCTCCCTCCTGCCCCCGCAGGCAGCCCAGAGCTGCCCTGCGGCCTGGGGGTCCCCCACCCCCCCGTTCTCAGGCCCTTCTTCTCCTTCCAGCTCTGCCCTGCGCCCTGCTGCGCATGATGGTGGTCTCTGTCCCACCCGCGTGGGCCTTGCCCGCGTGGGGGCTGCCCCCGCCTCGCACATTCAGGGCATCTGTGTCTGAACCACAGCTCTGGGCAAGTGGCTGAAGGGCGCACCCCAGCCCAGTCCCCACGTCCCAGGCGCCAGCCCACACGTGACCCCCGTGGGTGGAAGGGGGGGCATCCCTGCAACACGGGACGTCGCGCTGGCCCCAGGGGGAACTGAGGACGCCCCTCCCTGTCCCTGGGGACACAGCACTGAAGACAGATTTCTGCAAGCACGTTGGCCCCACGAGGAGTGGCCTCCTGCCTCTCGGTTCCGGGGGCTGTGGGAACCGTCAGGCACCTTGTTTTGTTTCCAAGCCCCGTGACCATGGACTCCCTGTTGGTGGAGTCTCCTGGGGATTGGGATCCAGGACCAGCCCCGCGGGTGGAGCCTGAGAGCCCACTGCAGCCTGACCCTGGGTCCAAGCCCGGCCCCACCTGGCCCCCGCCGAGGGCCCCCGGGCAGGTTGCGGCGCCTCTGAGAGAAGGCGGGCGCGCCCCGGCCCGTCCAGAGTCCTTCTGTTGCTGTCTCCCCAGCCTGTCCCACACAGCAGCTCCAGCGGCTACGGGAGCCTGGGCAGCAGCGGGTCCCACGAACACCTCCTGAGCCAGACCTCCTCCAGCGAATGCACCGGCCAGGAGGACCCCTGCCGGAGGAGAGCCGTACGTGCCCCTCTGTCCCCCTCTGTCTCCCTCTGTCTGTCATCTGTGACTCACATGTCTGAGCACTTTAGAAACGGCCCTCGCCGGGGCCGAGCCTTTCCGACCTCACCTGCTCCTGGCTGCTCTGAACTTGGCTCACCTGGGACTTGTTGTGTAACTTCGAAAGGGTGGAGGCAGCCACAGGCTGGCTAGAGGTTCAGGTGAAAATTATTTAACAGGCCAATCAAGCAAAAGTGAGGAGTTAACTGTAGGGTTAGGGTTAGAAAGAAGAAAGTGTAACCTGCCGTTCCCTTTACTTCCTATTCTTCCGAATCGTAAACTCTGCTGTCTCTAGTTCTGCCTCTCGGGTCTCATTCAGAACTTGCTGCTGTTGCTGGGATTAATCCTGCTTTGCTCTTTCCAGGGTGGGGCAAAGGCTGCGGGGTCTCCCAGGGTGAATGATGTGTTTTTCTTCCAGGAGATTTGTAAAAATGGTAAGAAGGTCAAAAGCAAAAGCCCTTGTCCGGATGAATCTGGAGAACAAAAGAGCGAGTCTGCTGCAGGTAACAAATGATCCAGCATTTCCTTAGTGAGACTTCAGCGTGGTGAGGCGAGGAGACGGAAAGCTGTACTGCCGGCAATTATGGTTACAATTGTTATTCCCGCCAAGTCATGTTTGAAAAGACCGACCCTCCCCAAGGCAGGGAGCGTCGACTGACCATAAGGCGCCTGTGATCTTATTGGCCCTGAAAGTTTCAGGAGTTCAAGTGAAGAACTGACCTTTCCCACTGCTGAGTCCCTGACCCTGGGGACAGGCCGGACCGAGTGCCGCAGAGAGAGCGCCCCCCAGGCCCCCCTGCAGATGGCGTAGCAGTGCTGCATGCATAGCAGGCTGTCTCCGGGTCTCTGCGTCCATGAAGCGTATTCTGAGGCCCCAGCCTTATCTTTAGGTAGAATTAAAGTGCTTTGTAAGTATAGAGTGTACTCCGGGGAAAACAAGGATTAACTGAAAAAACAATGTTGTCGTTCCTCCAGAAATGCAGAGCAGTTCCCCGGCTCAGATGAAAGCTCTCGCAGCCACGGAAGAGGACCGCTCCAGGGCCAGCCTGCCCGAGGCCGGCCTTCCTGAGGAGCTGGCCTTCAAGAGCCCGCTCGCGGGCTCCTACCAGCAGATCAGCTGCCTGGACAGTGTCGTCAGGTGCGGCCCTCTGGCCTCCCTCCCCGCCCAGCTGCTCACGCTGTGGGGCTCTCTGTTACATGAAGCCCTTTATCACCCGCCCACAGGTACCTGGAGAGCTGCAGCAAGGCCACCACCCTGAAGAGGAAGTGTGAGTTCCCGGCACACCTCCCCACGCGGAAGGCCAGTGACAAGCGCGAGGCCACCGCCGGCCCCGGGCCACATGCCGCAGGTACCTGGTTCGTTTGAGCTGTTAACTGCGGGATAACTTAGACCCTCTCTGGTGGGATCAGGCGTCATTTGAGGTCCTGGAGCCCCTTTTTCCAGGTGGATTCTGAGCGGCTTCAGGGACACGGTATTAGGGTATAGGCTATTTTTTACATGACCAGAGTAGCTCAGAACTTATGAGCTGGAGATAAAGGTGGTCCTGGACTTTGAGGGCAGGATCCTGTGGGGCTGCTGGAGGCCAGGGCTTCTCGGGCTGTCATTCTTGGGCGTCTCAGAGGAGGCCTGGCCTCTGAGGGTCAGTGACCCCACGAGTCAGATGAGACCTCAGGCCCTTCAAACATGAGGGCGTTGCTGGCGGCCGCCACCAGGATCAGAAGTAGGGTCTCCCATTGTAGACGGAGGCGACCGGACAGCCGTGCCCTGGTGGAGTCTGGCCCAGCCCGCAGGGAGGGAGCGCCACCTGCCTGCCTGCACTCAGCAGACGGGCTCCTGACTGCCGGGCGGCCCTCCCCGCAGGCCCACGGCAGAGGCCCTGACCCAGGGCACTGCGGTCACCTGCCGCCTGCCGCCTCCCTCCTCCCAAAGGACTCAGGAGGTCAGGGCGGCGGCGTTCCCATTTCAGAATCTCCTCCTCTCCGCCATCCCCCGTGAATAAACACCTGAGGACACAGTGTCACCTGCCAGGACGTGTGCAGACTCGCAGCTGCCCCCGCCCCCGCCCCCGGTACTGGGCACCACCTAGGCCTCCACGCGGCGTATCCCCACAGTTCGTTTTTATCACATTTTTGTGTCTTGCTTCCATTTTCCCTTATAAAGAGACCGCGTCACCCTTCAGGGTGAACAGCCACACGGACGTGAGCACGCACTTGACCTCGCTGACGCTGCCCAGCAAGGCACAGAGCGTGGCGTCCCTCACCAGCCAGTGCAGCTACAGCAGCACCATTGTCCACGTGGGCGACAAGAAGCCGCAGCCTGAGCTCGGTACGCGCACTGCTCCTTGGGCGATGTCAGGAACGCTTACTGCTCCTTGGGCGATGTCAGGAGGAATCGGACTTGAACAATAGAGATGAGAAGCTTCGACTGCCGTCCTCAGATTCTCTTTAGGTTTACCCAAGTGTGGAGGTAGCTACACAGCCCAGTAACAGGGGTGCAGGAAATCCGTGCAATGCCGGGCGGGGGTGGCCACGCCTGTCCTGCCCCCGCTGCGCTCTGGCTCCACCTGTGACAGGTGTCTGCTCAGGTGTCGATACGGAGGGGCCTCCCAGGACCAAGCAGGGGTCCCAGGACTCCCCCTTCGTTGGTGCCGAGAGAAGCCTGGGGACGAGCCCCCGCCCAGCATCCCGCTTCCTTGGATGGGATTACAAGCCGTGCCCTCCCCATGTGAGGACAGGAGCCAGTGCGGGTCGTAATAGCAGGACAACCAAGGGTGCCACACTGAGCTGTTCTTCAGATACCACGAGTAAAACGAATCCTGAATTCGTTCTTTGCTTGGAAGGGGGGCGTGATGAGGGCAGAAGTACACATCAGAGAGTCAATGTCCAACCCCTTCCAGGACGGTCTGTGGTCCCACCCGCCCCATCCTGTCTGCACCCGCAGTTCCACTGGCCACACTGTCAAGCCCGTGATCCTGAGCCAGGATGAGGCTGTGCGCCAGCCTAGCCTCTTGCTCTGAAAGCACAAGACAGCCTGGAGTGTCTGCAGCGTCAGAGGCTGAAAACCCCCCGAGGTGCCCCAGTTTAGAGGACTGATACCGGAGCCCCTGGGTAATGGGGCTTCCTACCCCTTTTGTCATTAACTTTCTCAGAAAGCTAAACAAATACATCATGTTGTGGGCATCGTGAAGGAATCTTATCCCCATGCTGTGGGCATCGTGAAGGAATCTTCTGTGCGAATGATTTCTGTTCTTCATAGGTGCAGTGTGCATTTTTTCAGCCGTTTTAAAATAGAAGGGCCCTTGCAGATGAGAGCTGTGCGTCTTCTGTTACAGAGACGGTGGGAGATGCTGCCAGTGGGCCCGGGTCTCTGGACTGCCTGGTGGGCTCCGTGCTGCCCTGCGGCCTCGGCCACGAGCAGGGGCCCTTCCGGAAGCTGGGCCTCACCAAGGAAGTGCTGGCCGCCCACACCCAGAGGGAGGAGCAGAGTTTCCTGCTAAAGTTCAGAGAAATAAGAAAGCTCAGTGTCTTCCAGTCTCGCTGCCATTACTACTCACAAGACAGATGCAAGGGGCAGTCGAGTGAAAGAGGTAAGTGGTAATACCTGAGCTAAAAGTGGATGTATTTTTTAACTTTATTCTTAACATTACTGAATCTAGCGCTGCTTTCAGAAGGCGAAACGTCCCCAGTTTGGGACACGTGGGTTTGTAAGAAGCTGTTGGAACTTGACCAGTGATGTTCTCAAGGATGTCACTTTGTGTTCCCAAGGGAGCAGTGCTGTAAATAGTGGTGACAGTCCCAGCCCAGCCCCCTGTGGAATGCAGGGCGGGCAGTTGCAGTGCTGCCATGCCAGACATTTCTTGCCTGGGTGACTTTGAGGGGCAAGAGACCCTACCCCACCTTCCCACCCAGACAGGACCCTCAGAGGACCAGCTGGGCTAATGCACTGCCCAGAGAAGGAGATGGCACTGACGGGGCGTTCGGTGTCAAGCCCCTGAGGGAGGAGGTTAGCCCCGGACGACACCGTAGGAGGGAATGGCGCCCTCCTCCCCAGAGCACGTACGCTCCTGGCGGATCGGCCTCAGGGCCAGGCTGCCGACTCCAAGCCCGACAGAGCCCAGGGGTGCGTGAAGCTGCCCTTTAGGCTGAGAGCCATCAGGTGGTCAACGGGCAAGGGATGAAGTGGAACAGACGAGCTTCCCTGCCCCTTTTCTGGTCCAGGAGCCTGGCTCCCAACCCCCAGCCACCTTCCCAGGCCCCCCTGACAAGGCCAAGCTGATGAGAGATGCCGCCTCTTCCCTGGGCTCCCAGGCCGTGACACAGGGATCAGAGCTGAGAGCTAGTGAGCCCAGGGGACACACACCATGAGGACCCAACTCCCCCTGGTCTCTGGGCAGACACACCGAAACAGATGTCCCAGAAGTGAGAGGCTGACACACTCCTTAAGGAGTTTATCCCCAGACCCAGGGTTACTGCCAGCACATTGGGAACCTCTGTGGAAATCAGGAAACGGTGTCCACACCACCGTAGAATTCCAGCCCCCTCTTGCCCCCTTGGCCACGCATTTTGTGCAGTGCACAGACTGCACAGCTGTCCACAGCAGCCCCTCCCAGACCCTGGTGTGGCATCCCAGGAGCCCAGTGCCGTAGCTCCGGGTCCCAGTAGGGGGCAGATTTCCTGTAGGAAGAACACCAGGCAGAGAGGCTGAATGGCAAAACCTCCACCCGCTTAGCAGTCTGCTTTGGGCTGGCCCATTTGCCTTTATCGTGTGGCACGGCCGCCAGGGGATGTCCTCACACACCTGCTGCAGGAGCCCAGAGTTACCCTCTGTGACAGGAGAGGAGAAGCTGAGGTTCCTGGGACCCGTTCCATTGCCCGCCCCACCCTCCCCCCCCAGCTCGGCATGACCCCCGAGCCCACAGTACTCCCAGCGCCGGCCGGTGCCCAGGGGAGGTGGGGGGGGGACATGCCCAGGGTCCCTTATGTGACTGGGTGGAGCCCCTCCAGTCTCCTGAGAAAGGCCCTCTCAGCAGCACTCACCGTCAGAGAGGAAGACCTTGGTTCCAAGGGCGAGCGGCCCTTTGACTTCCCTGGGCTGGAATCACAAGCTTTCTAAGCAGGAAACATCTCTTTTTAGGAACAGCAGCAATGAAGCTCGTAACACTGACAGATAAGGTTAGACGAGACCAGCGGTTCTGCCTCTAAGGTGTCACAAACCGCCCTTGGGGAATAGCATCGACTTCCAGCTTTCTTACTGTTCTGGACAAATAAAACCTTCTTGACGCCACTTATCACTATTACTGCATGAAAGAAACGGCATTTTAATATGAGAAGAAAGCAAGGAATGTGATCTCGCAACAAAGGGTGGTCCTTTAAATGGATTGAATCTAGTTTTATGAAAACCTAACGTTTTGCCCTGATTTTTCTCACTTTCCTGAGGATCCGGGAAGACCGGGTGGTGGCCCCGTGATCCCCAGGCTGGCGATGGGGAGAGTGGGACTCACTGTTGAACTGGGAGGCGCCTTCAGGTTTCTGAGGTCCTACAAATCTCTGAAAATTGACGTAACAGGAAACATAACATAATTTTTACGTTTTAACTCTTGTTTTCCCATTATTTTAGCTGCTCCCGGACTCAGAAATACCTCTGGAATAGATTCATCTTGGAAAAAAACGGGGAAGAACAGAAAACTTAAGTCCAAACGGGTCAAGCCTTGAGACTCCTCGGGGAGCCCTGGGTCCGGGGGGCCCCCGCCCCAGCGGCTGCCACTGGTGGGCCTGAATGCCACCGCCTGGTCACCGTCGGACACATCCCAGTCCAGCTGCCCCGCGATGCCCTTCCCCACCCCGGTGCCCGCTTACTCCCTGCCCATGTTTCCAGCCCCAGGGATAGTGCCAGCTCCAGGGACTGTGGCAGCGGCACCCAGAACTCCCCACGCCGGCCTCGCGCTGCCCGTGGACACCCAGCACGAGTTCACAGTCCAGCCCCCACCGTCTGCCGGCCCCTTGCCCCCGGTCGTGGCCTTGGTCTTACCCAGCTGCTCCTTCTCCCCGGTGACCCCGAGCCTGCCCCCAGCTTTCTTCCCCGGCCAGCGGAACTTGCCGTCCGAGGTGATTCCTGCCTTGCAGCCCGAGTTCCCTGGTCGGACCTCATCCCCCAAACACCTGCACACGTGTGCCCTGGCAGAGAGCGGGCTGCCCGTGTTGCATGTGGCCGCCCAGGCCGCCCTGCCCTCGGCCGCGGGGTCTGCAGGCAGGACCTCACCACCGCTCTTCCAGTCCCGCGGGAGCTCGCCCCTGCAGCTCAGCCTGCTGCAGCTGGAGGAGGCCCCCGAGGGCGGCTGTGCGGCCGCAGGGCCCACGGTGCCCACAGAGACCGTGCGAGCGGGGCCCGACTGCCAGCCTGGCTCATCCTGGGACCGGCGGCCCGAGGCACCGCCAACCGTAAGGATCTCCTGATGCCCTTTGTCTAACGAAGGCAGGTGGCGAACGCGGCCGCCTCGGGCGGGTCACGGACATCCTCACCTCAGGTGGTCCCTGCACTGAGGTTACTACCAGACCATTTCAATTCCGACATAAACACGTGTGCTAGGAAATAACACTTTCCGGGTAAAAGACCCTATCAGAGCAGACCAGTTTTTATTGTCTTGGGATCTGAAGGGGAAAAGGGAGATCGGTCGTCTGCTGGCGGATGCAGGCGCCAAACAGCCACAGGTGATTTCGTGACTCGTCGTCACGGGCCTCCAGGGTTTCAGTGAATGCTTCGGGGATAAAGCGCAGTCAGGTGACAGGTCAGAACGGAGGCGCCTTGGAGGGCAGCTGGCAGCAGAGGGGCTCACGGTGAAGGAGCAGGGCCAGGAGGGAGCTGGAAGCCAGTGCCGTGGGTGTGCATCCTCCCACGTCTTGAGGGACGTTGGCGTGTAGTCGTACTCGGTTAATGAAATTGTAGTTTGATTTCCAGTTAATGCTTCTGTGTCCTGAGAGCTTCGGTGTGTGGTCGCATCCGCTGAGGCAGTGTGATCCGTGGGCCCTCCGAGGAAGGAGCTGCGCGGGGCTCCCCTGCCCGTGCTCCTGGGAGAGCAAGTGGGAACAGGGTGGCTGTCCCAGCACGGCTGCTGCCCTCCTGACTCCCGGGCCTACAGTCTGGGTTCCAAGGATTGGAGGGTTGGGGCGCTCCCAGGCCAAGCCCCCCTCATGTCCAAGCCCGTCCCCACTCTGGGGGCGCGGGAGCCGGGAAGCCAGAGCCCTGCCTCTGCGAGGAGCAGCTTTGGGGTGCTGCAGGAGACACTTGCCCGCCTTGGCGGAGGAGCAAGCCTGAGGCTTCCCCCGCAGGGATCCAAGAGCTGCCGTCTTTAGTGGGACTCTCCCCAAACTAAATTTAATTAGATGGCATCTATCCCACTACCAAGAGTCCCGCTGTGGTCCCAGTAAGCACGGGGTCTGCGCATGTGGCACGTGGAGGAAGGGCCAGCGGTCCAAGGAGGGCGCACCCGCTGTGTCCCTGAGAGTCTGGTGCAGACCAGACACCTGACTTGGTGTCTCCTCCCTGTTCCCAAAGTGCGACAAGCCCAAGGACGGCCAGAGCAGCGACGCCCTGTGCACGCCCAGCGGCCTGCTGCACCTCCTGCTGCGCGAGGACCTCTGCTCGGCCATGGGCTCAGCCCCGTCCGGGAGCGGGGCCTCCGTCACCTCCTACTCCCTGGGCTCCGGCTCGCTGGGCTGCGATGCATCTGCAAGTGGGGCCGGTATGTAGGTGGTGCTGGGAGCACCTGGGAGTCGGGGCGGGGTGGGAGGTGGCAGGTGTGTTTGGAAGATTCTCACGTGATACACCTGGGTGTCCTTGACTCTCCGGCCCCCAGGGAGCCAGTCACCCCAAAGCCGCAGGCTGACTTGGGCAGGACCCCGACATGCAGGCATCCAGCTGCACCCCGAGCAGCTCCTCGGGGCCCTCGGCCGTTCAGACAGGCAGCTGGGTTCCTCCTACCCGCTCCACCCGCGCGGACGGCAGCCCCGGCCCGCCCCACTTCCCTCTGTTGCCCGTCACTCTCGACCTCAGCGGCACTGCAGGCCCCCCACCCCAGCTGGCCCTGCTTGGACTGTCCCTGGGGCTCCCCGGGTGTGCCGGGAGGGCTGGCAGCGGCTCGCCTTCCTGAGTTAGATCCCCTGGTGAGAAGCTAGCGTGTGGACCGACCGGGATCGTTCAGGTGTGATCTGGAACCGCCCCACGGGAAGAGCACACACTCTCCCCAGACTGTAAGACCCCCGCTTCCCTGAAGTGAGCGGGCCCCTCTCCCTGTGGGAGGCCTGCCGGGAGGCGCTCCGGGACAGCCGCCTGCCGCTCACAGGGGCGGCTTCTCTGTGGCCTGGCTTAGTCCGGAGGTAGTGAGCCTGGGAGAGAAGAGCACGGCTTCTAAGATATAGCCCCACCTGGACTCCTCGGGGCCTCCCCAGGAGAGAATCACCTCCATGGTACCAGCTGATATCCTGTTTTTAAATTACCCAGACAACTCGAGAATTGGAAAGAGAAGGGAAGGTCCACCAACCCAGGCACCAGTTACCAAATAAAACCCTTCAGCTCTGTAATGCTGCCATTCCTTTACACGAGCACAACGTGCAAGGTCAGCGCAGTAGTCAAGGTTTTGACCTGCCATGCTTTGTGTTTTTAAAGGCAGCAGCAACACAAGTCACACCAGCAAGTATTTTGGAAGCGTCGACTCCTCAAAGAATAACCACAGAGCAAAAGTGAAGGTGGACATGGTGGAGAGTGAGCGCCTCAAGGACGTCCTCCAGGACCCCGTCTGGCTGCTCGGGGCCGACACGGACGACAGCGTCCTGATGGCATACCAGATGCCTTCGCGGTAACCGTTCGCCGGCGGCTCGGGACAGTGAAGGGCTGGGTGCGGTTTCCCCAGAGCCACAAGGCCAGAGGCCTTCCCTCGGGAGCCTTATCTCAGATTGAGCTGAGTGCACAGAGAGAAGCAGGGCTCCTCTAGATGGTGCCGCTGGCCACACAGAGCCCGCAGAGTGACCTGCTGCAGGCCTCCGGGATGACGGGCTCTGGGGACCCGCCACGGCGTCACAAGACGTTTACAAAGCATTCGTGCCAACGTCGTCTCTTTTGCTCTGTTGCCAGCAACCCTATGTGGTCAGTGATGTGTGTGTGTGTTGTGTGTGTTGTGTGTGTGTGTCTGTGTGTCTGTCTTAGAGATGCAGAAACCAAGAGTCAAGGTGGGTGACCAGCCCAAGGCTGCTGGCTGCTCTGTAGGGACCTGGGTCTGTGCCTCAGCTCTGACCACTCCAAGGAACCTGGAACCTATCAGGGTCCATGCCCCTGTGCAGTGCCCCCTCGGTGGAGGGACATGGGGGGGAGGAAGGACAGATTAACCCTGAGGCTCAGAACAGCCAGGCCTCTGGGCCAGGGGAGCCCAGGGCTCTGTCTCCAGGACTGCTGCGGGGCAGGCCAGTGTCGGCAGGTGGCAGGGGAGGGCTTGTCTACCTACCACCTCGCTGGTGAGAACCTCCCGGGCACAGAACCAGGTGTCTGCAGATACCCGGCTCCCATGGCTGCGCTAAAGTGAAATGCAAATCAGAACTCGGTGTATCATCTTCATAGAAAAACTGCAGACTATCTACTAGGGAGATGACGTTACCTTAAGTAGGGTAATTTATTTTAAATGGAAAGGAAATTTAAACAAAATCATCTAAAATTACATGATTAACACTGGAAGTGTTGGTAGAAAACGAGTATATTCTTTAAAAAACAAAGCCCTTGAGACGTTCTAAAGCTTTCCTATTTCTAAATATTTCATGAAGGAATTTAGAAACGGTCCTGCAGGAGGACAGGGAGAAGCTGAAGGTGCTGCAGAGGCTCCAGCCCAGGTTCACAGACAGGCAGAGGCAGGAGCTGCAGGACGTCCACCCGTGGATGCGGTCGGGTGGCCTGCCCGCGGCCTTCGACGTGGCGGTGAGCTCTGGAGCGGGTTTTCTGACTTTGCGTTAAAAGGCACTGTGATGAGAAAGCTCTGTGCTGTCTTTGCAACTGTTCTGTACATTTAAAACTTCTAAGATTAAAAGTTCATTAAAGGGCTTCCCTGGTGGCCCGGTGGTTGAGAGTCCGCCTGCCGATGCAGGGGACGCGGCTTCGTGCCCCGGTCTGGGAAGATCCCACATGCCGCGGAGCGGCTGGGCCCGTGAGCCATGGCCGCTGAGCCTGCGCGTCCGGAGCCTGTGCTCCGCAACGGGAGAGGCCGCAACAGTGAGAGGCCCGTGTGCTGCAAAAAAAAAAAAAAAAAAGTTCATTAAAAAAAAATACCACCACACTGTCAGGTTTCCTTCAAAGAACTTTCTTCCAATGGCTTTTCAACACTGTTTCCAAAAAGGTCTCCTAAATATCTAGTCTCAATCACATGCTGAAATTTGAATTTTTTTTCTTTCAATTCTGTTTCCAGTGAAAACACCCACACACACACTTCCTCTGTCATAAACCCTCAACATCCACGTAGACCATTAAGTAACAGGGAGACAGCAGGTCCCCACCCTCCCTCCCACTCTCACCAGCCTGCCCCTCCTGTCTCTGTTCCTTCCCGAGGGTCCCAGAGGTGTCACTGTACCCCAGCTCCTCTCCCCCGCTCCCCTCAGAGCACCCCCATACCAGCACTGCCCGGGAGGCTGCTCTCGTCAAGGCCTCCAGGTCCAGCAGCTGAATCCACTGACGTCTCCGTCCTCACCCTAACCGACCCACTCGCGGCATTCAGCGACGGCCGGCCCCTCCTCTGAGAGCACCCCTCCCTTGGCCCCGGCCCCTTGGCCCCTCGCTCTTGTACCCATCAGTGTGGATGCGCCCAGGCTCAGGGTTTGCACCTTCCTCTTCTGTCTACACTCCCTCTGGCGCTGTCAGCTCTCTCCTCCTGACCGAAAGCAGTGTCTCCGTGCCGAGACTCCCTAGCATCCACCTCTGTCGAACTTCATCTGCTGTCCTGGTTATGCTCAGAGAGAGCCAGCCCACCCACTGTCTTCCCACCCACTCAAGGGTGACTCCATCACCCCTCTTGCTCGGTCCACAGCCCTCTGGACTCTCTTTCTGTCGTGCCCCATCCAGTCCACTAGCAGGTCCTACTGGCTTGACCTTCAAGGTGGCTGGAAACCAGCCCCTTCCCATCACCTCCAGCATCACCACCCTGGTCCACGCCACAGTGCTGCTTCACCTGATTGTCACAGTATCCCCCCCGCTGCACTCTGTTCCCCCTTGTCCCCTACAGTGAGATCACGTCACCCCTCAGCTCTGAGCCCTTCCAGCGGTGCCCCTTCTCAATCAGAATAAATTGCTGCAAAGCTGTTAAAATATGACACCCCCTCCCCACAGCTCCCATCTCCCCTCACTCCCTCCTCTCCAGTTGTTCCCTGAAATCATTGAGCAGGCTTCTGCCTCAGGGCCTTTGCACCTGCCCTTCCCTCTGCTTGGACTCCTCTTTCCTCAGACAGACACATGGCTCACTCCAGCTTCCTTCAAGTCTTTTTTTCACATGCTGCTGTGTTATTTATCTAATACTACCTAGCAAATAACCCCAAAGCTTAGGAGCTTAAAATAATAATCATTTATCATCTCCCACTGTTTCTTTGGGTTGGGAATTTAAGAACAACTTAGCTGGGTGGTTCTGGCTCAGGGTCTCTCCTGAGGGCAAAGGTGAGATATTGGTCGGGGCTCGTGCCATCTGAAGACAGGATGGTGACCGGAAGATCCCCTTCCAAGGAGGCTCCCTCACGTGCCTGCACATTGGTGCTGGCTGTTGGCAGGAGGCCTCAGTTCCTTGCCGTGTGGATCTGTCCATCGGGCTGCTTGTGTGTCCTCATGACACGATTCCGGCCTCCCCAGAGAGAACCGAGGGGCTGCAGTGCCTGTTACGACCCACGTGTCACCTGCATCACCTCCTCTTTGTTAGTGGCAGGTCACCGAGTCCAGGCCTCCAGCTTCTGAGGAAGGGGTGTCAAAGAATTTGTGGGCGTATTTTAAAACCACTACAGTCACTCTCTCAGTGGAATGTCAGTAAAATTACAGACGTCCTCACATGCCTCATTCCGTGTCAGCCCCGCATTTCCCATCTTTTAATACACTGTGGAGCATTTCTCATTCGGCTACTAGGAGATCACCTCCGCTGGGACACAGATTTTCCTCTTTGTTCACTGCTGACTCCCAGTGCTTAGAACGTGCCTGGAACACGACAGGTGCTTAACAGATGGGAAATGAACAAATGAGACAGTACGTTGTTGCTGTCCCATTCTACAGATTAGAAAACTGAGGTTAGAGAAGGTCGGTAGCAACTCCAGGGCCCACAGGCAGAAAGAGGAGGAGCTGGCACTAGAGCCTCTGGTTGATGCTGTCCCCTCGCTATGTACAGCCACCTCGCAGACAAGGGAGGGGCCTGGGGAGCTGGGAGCAGGGACCTCTTGGGAAGAGCTCTGGCTCCTTGGAGAGCAGGCAGGGGTCCCACGCCCAGTGGCACCTGCTCACCCTCCAGCAGCCTCACTGCTGACACCTGATCACCTGCACCTCTCTCAGCTTGAACTACTTTTTCGTACCAAAGATCTCATTTTTGTTACTGATTTGCATTTTTTCTTTTAAGGAATGCGTTTGCTGTGAAAACAAGGGAAAAGACAACGTTTGCATGCGGTATGAGGAAGCTACCCCTACTCTGGGACTCAGCGGAACAACCGACACCACAGAAGAGGAAAACGGACCCTCCCTGAGTCACAGAAACGAAGGGCAGACGTAACCCCCCGCAGCGGGACAGCCGGTGGCATACATTAGGTGGTGCTCTGAGGAGGGGGAGGGTCTTCACCTGTGTTTCTAATGAAATGGACGGATATACTTACATGACTTTTTTTGTTCTAGAAAAAACCCATCGTTTTCCGAAGGGGTGATTTAAAACCGTGGCGGGTAGGAGAAGTTTGGGAAGAAATAGCTTTTTGTATTTAAAATATAAATATGGAGTTTTCGGGGACAGGGGAGGAGATTTTCATCATTGTTTAACTTGAGAAGGACTGCTTCCCTCCTTGTGTCGGGGAAGCGGCTGAGTGTTCTCAGCCAGAGCACCAGTGTCTGCTGGCTCCCCGTGGGCGGTCCCGGGGTATCGCACCGGGCTGTGACCCACAGCTAGGATGCCACAGGTGACTCCGCACTGAGGGGCCGGCCTTTCGGAGCTTCCCCAGAGTGTGTTTGGATCAGATCAAATTATGTCCTCTCTGGGGGGCTGCTTTTTATCTAAATTATTTAGTCAGACTAGATGTTTTTAAAACATACCAAGTGGAGATCACAGCCTCCGCTAATCTTCTTTCAACATGTTTTGCATTAAATGGCAGACCAGCAGCTTCAGCTTCAAGTGTGGTAGCAGCAAACATTTCACCTGACGTAGCTTAAGTTTGGGGTGAACGAAGTTGAAATGCTCGCTCTGGACTAAAGATGCCTAGTGGTTTGTGTGACCAACTCCATCGTAGAAATATACATCCTCAGAAATACGCAGACCCTTGTGTATATTTTGACATAATTCTCGTATCCTTTTCAGACCGGGAGAGCCAATATGTAGATAAAAGCACGTTGTCGGTCATCCCCTTACTGTGACTTCCCTCTGCAAACCAGGCTTCGATCGCCACACTTGGGGCCCACCCGTATTTATTCTTTGATCGGCACTTCCGAGACATCAGCTCTGGCCCAGCTGAGCCAGTGCTTTCTCCTGACTTAGCTGGTGGCTGCGTCTGTGTTTTCCAGGGCGCCGTGATCTAACCGCTCTCACCACACCTGGGCTGGGACACCGGCCCCTAATTCTTTCCATGAACCTGACCTCATTGGTGCCATTTCCGGTCTCTGTGGTGATGTCCACTAGCACTTTCAGGTGAATGGGACACTCGGGGAAAAGTGAGACCAGACGGCCCAACTTTTTGCAAAACCTCATACTGCATCGTCTATCCCAAAGATTGTCTGCAAAAATGTTACATCGGTCCCTAGGGTGAATGAGAAGCTGCCAGTGATGACACAACTGACTTACAATTGCATCGCGTCTGTAGAAAGTTAAAAGGGGGCAGCTTCCCCTGTTCTTTGCTGGAGAAGCAGCTACTAGAACAGGTGACGTCTCCTTGTAATCCAGTTGGTTTTCATAGTCAAACCACTTTATGCCTGAATATCAATCCTATTTTTCATAAACTCGAACACAGAAAGTTTAATTTTTTATTTTTTTTAATTTACAAAGCAACATCAGCTGCAGATACCCAAGACAAGGTGTAGTCTATGCATTTTTGTGGAGACTAGATGCTACAAACTGCTTCCTGCCACTAAAGGCAGATCATTAAGGGATTAGATGGGAGCGAAAGTTGCATTGACTTTCCCTAAACGCAAGACTGCCAACACGTTCCCTCCTGTTAGCAATGTTTACTGGCAGCATTATCTTAGCATTTATGTATATTCATTGATTGTTAACTGCTGCGTAGCTTTGACGTGTGCTGAGAAGTTGACAGCAGGAGCATTTTGTGAAATTGTTTACACGGTGCCACGCATCGGGTCTTACATTTTCGTTAGTATGTGTGCTTACACGGGTGTTATAAAAAACTTCTTCTCGATTTTAAACTGAGCCTTCTTTTTAATATATTCCTAAAAAGATATGTAAATAAGCTCTCAGAGTCTGTGTAACGACGTGTTAAGCCTTGCCGGACAAGTGGTTTGTTTATGTGCAAACCAGACTTTCTTCACCCAGTGCAATATGTTTGTTGGACTGCTTGTGTCTTTTTATGATTTTTTGCCTTTTAGAAAATTGGTAAATAAAGCAAGTATATTTTTATTTTTATTTGTGTGTATTTTTAATGTAGCACAGAGGAACAGGAACCTGAATAGAGATCAAAGATTATCAAAATCTTTTTTAAAAAAAAAGAACCCAGGCTTCCCTGGTGGCGCGGTGGTTGAGAGTCCGCCTGCTGATGCAGGGGACACGGGTTCGTGCCCCGGTCTGGGAAGATCCCACATGCCGCGGAGCGGCTGGGCCCGTGAGCCATGGCCGCTGAGCCTGCACGTCCGGAGCCTGTGCTCCACAACGGGAGAGGCCACAACAGTGAGAGGCCCGCGTATCGCAAAAAAAAAAAAAAAACCCTAGAAATTCTGAATTAGGAACTCCTCTGTCACAAAGGCCCCCCCTCACCTCTTCCCCTGCACAGGGTGCCTCTCGCTGGTCCCTTCCTGTCTCTATGTGTCTCTCTGACATGCAGCCCCACCCCAGTGAACTCCCAACGATTTAGATCTAATCCTGGAGTCCCGTTCCCCCATGGTTTTTCACTCACAGATGGGGAGTAGGGCCACTCAGCTCAGCCCCTGGTGCCCCTGTCCACTCTGAGGTGACCCCAGGCACCTGCTCCATTCTCTTCCTGCCCCCTCCAGGATAGTCTGTCTCACCTTGGCTGGCTGCCTGTGTGCTGGCCACGGGGCTGAAAGCAGAGTGGTCTAAAGGACCTCGCGTCTCCATCAGAGGTGATACAGGCAGCGTGGCAGCCTCCTCCCACCCCACCCCCCAGTCCTTCCTTCCACAGCGATGAAGTCATGCAGGGCCTGGTCAAACAGTGGAGGCCTGCTCCCCCCCCACCCCACTTTTCACACCAGGACCGTATTGTGGTGTCGGAGCAGGGAGATGAATGGATCCGGCCCTGGTGCCCAGCCTTCCAGAAGCTCCCTGAGCAGAAGGGAGGGCTCGACGCCGCTTCCTGTCCTGGCTGCCTAAATCCAAGTGGTGCTTGGGGGCTGGGGAGGCAAAGTCCTCCCAGTGAGCATGGAGGCCTCTGCAAACGCGCTAAGTGGCCAGATGTGGCTGTTTCACTGAACGTCTGAGTGCCTTCGGGGGCTCTTAACTACATTTTTAACTACCATATAACCCCAAGGGCATGTGCTCCCCTATTTCTAAACCAAAAGGAGCTTCTCCAAGCCTCTGGGCTGATTGCCCTCAAGGGGCCTGGACATCCATAGGCTGGCCACTGTCTTTGTTCCCTGGGGATTTATGGCTCGCCACCCCTGCCGCTAACTGGTCCCCCTGTGGCCACTGCAGCCCTGCCCAGCCTCTGTTGGCCTCTGTTTTTGGATATGAGGGGATCAAAGAGCCCAAATGCTCAGGAAGTCTGTACTCAGGCAACCTTTGAAAGGGGGATCAGTCCAAGGGACAAATGGCAGGAAGTGTGCCTGCTAGACGAGGCCATGCAAAGGAGAAAGAAAGGGTGTGGTGGTCCTGAGACGGAGTAGCCAGGCTTCTGGGAGGAAAAGGCCAAGCCAGCCAGCCAATGGGCGCACTAAAGGAAATGGAGGCTGACTTCGAAGATGAGGCCTTGGGCAACTTCCAGTCTAACCAGGAAGGATTTTGCTGCCTCACACTCCCTGCTCTATCCCTATACTTTCTTCCCCAAGGGTACTTGGTCGGACTGAGGCATATCCCAGTACTTAATTTCTCCTTCCTTAACTCTAGACAGCATTCCTCAATCCCCCCACCCCATGTAAGACAAGGGTTATGAGGTCCCTAGCCCATGCTCCAGCCTCCTCCCTTCTCCTGACAACTGTCATCTGTCCTTTTGTTTTTACAAAGCAACTTTATATCCTGTAACCATAATTAAGCCTTCCTTGCCTTTTCTATAGATTGACTCTAAAATGTTGAAACCCTATGAACAGTGTTACATTGTTCTGACTGTGAAAGAATTGGCTACTGGGCCAAGTGAGTGCTAAGATTACACTTCTCTTCTTCAGCAGCTTTTTGTTTTTCCCGGAGTTCCTAGTTGCCTTTCATTTTTCGCTTGCACCATTTGCCTTTATCATTCTTCCTCCACCTCCCACATTCAGTTCCCCATCCAATCAGGAAAAGATTAATAGTCTTTTCCCAGAGGCCTTCCCCAGAGCCCTGATCATCCCGTTCCAATACAAACTGCCTTTCAGGGAGAGCGTTCTAAACTACTTGTTTGATCTTATTCAAACAATATAATCAATAACGGGAGGGGTATGAATCAGAGTACAAGAAATATCACTGAGTTTATTTTTCCATATCTGAGCTCCTCAGAGTAGTAGAAGCTTAATTGTAGTTTCTTGGGGTGGGGGTGGGATCTCCTTCCCTGGGGTGATGTCTAAATGGTGAAGAAAAGTAAAGTTACAGGCCAGCTATCGGCTCTCTTGGGGTTCACGACTCAAGCCCCTCCCCCACTCTGTCAGTCCCTCCACTAGGAGTAGAGGGGGAAGGGTATCAGGTCTCTGACCAGGCAGGGGAGGAAGGGAGGAAGAGAACTAAGCTTTCTGGCTTGTGGGGGAGACTGAGGACGACACAGGGTGATTGAAGGAAAGGAGTGGGTTCATACCTGGGTGAACAGCGCAGGGCTGGGGAAGTTCCCGGGCCCTGCTCACAGAAAAGCAAAGAGACGGCCAGGTAAGAATCAGCGGAAGGGGTTCCCAGGTACTTACAGAGGTCAGTGAGGTGACTTGGGGAACCATCAAGCCACTCACCAAACTTGTCTTACCTACGGAGGTCCCTCGGTGGGGAGCTGAGGTGAAACAGTCACCTGAAGGGCTTCCAGATCCATCTTCAGATGGCGGGGGGCACAGGTGGGTGTCTGGGGCCTAGCCCTACCACCCCACCACACTGCGGTCCCTGCATTTTCCTTTCCCCTGCTGCCTTCCAGCTCGGCTTGGGACACTCTCGATTTCCCCACCTACCCAGTGCTTCTGCTAGGCCAGGCTCTGTGCTGGGGGTAGATAAGGGGTCCTAGGTCAGACTGTACCCCCAGGGATGCTTGTAACCTGGAGGGGCACAGACCAGACCCTGACAGTCCCAGTCCCGGGAGGGAAGCAGAGGATTGGGTAAAGGGAAGCTGAGACCTGAACAGTGAGGAAACGGCCATTGAAGGGAGATCCCAGCGTGTTCCAGGTGTAAGGCTGTGTGTGTGCAAAGGCTTCACGGTCTGAAGGCAAATTGGTATTCTGGCTGTGCCAGGAGACGCCGTGGACCTAGGCCGGTGGGGCTGCGGCCAGGCTGGGGTCCCCAGGGAGCTGCCCCACCGCCCGCGCACCCCACCCTCACGGAGGCTGGGCCAACAGATGGGCGGCCAGCCGTGGGGGTGGCGGTCGTCTGGCGGACACAGGCGCACCCACCGCCCGCTCCCGCCCGAGTGACAAAGCGGCAAAGACAAAGGCGCGGCCAACACCTGTCGCTCTTGGCCAGGCTGCCGCTTTTCTCCGCCCGAAGCGGCTGCAGCTGCCAACTGTCACGGGCATCAAGTTACGGGGACCAGACGGCGGCCTCCACCAGCCGGGCGGGAAGCGCGGGAGGGCTGGGGGGGAAAGGGAGCCGAGGGGGACAGGAGGCGGGGAGGGGGGCCGGGGCGAACAAACAAGGATGCGGGGAAGGGTGGTTGGGCAGGGAGGGCGGGGACCAGGGAAGGGCGAGCTCGGGTTGGGAATCAGAGAACGTGGGTTCGGGGGAGGGCGGGCAGGGAAGGGAGGGCGGCGGTGGGTGCTGAGGGGGGAAAGGGAAGTGAAAGAGGGGTCGGGGAGCAAAGGGGACTAGAAGGAGATGCGGGGAACTCCGGTGGTGAGGGCGATGATGACCAGGAGAGAACAGACAGCCTGTGGGGACAGAGGATGACCCGAGAAGGAGAGCCTACAGATGGAGCGGTGCGGGCGGGCCTGGGGACCCCGCCCCACTAGGATCCCTGAGCGGGCTGAAGGCGGTGTCGACGTTCGGATGTCAGGACCCACAGGTCCGCAAGAAACGCACTGGGGCCAAGGGCCCGTTCCCACCCCCGCTGCCCTAGGGGCCCTCACCTCCCCGGGGCTCTGCAGCCACCCCAGCCCGGACCTGTAGCTCCCTCCAGGCCCGGAGATCGCGGCCTTTGCTGTGGCTCTGGCCGCCAGGACCCCGGCACTTGCGCAGGAGCGTTCCTCTCCTGTTGCACCTTGGGTGAACAAAGTCAAGCGTGAATGAATGAATGGGCAGATGGATGCGCCCCTGCTAGCACGCGCCGCAGACCTGGGCGCCTTGCTTGGGGTAGGAAGGGAAACAAGCGCACCCAGAGCCACAGCTCTCCGGGTCATCGCCCCCCCTCCGGTGCCCCACAATGCCGGGGCGGCGCGGAGGGCCCGGCCGCACCCCCCAGTCCCCGGCCGCAGGCCACGCCCCGCCAGCTGCCGGCCGACCCCGGCGGCGGGGCCAGACAAAGCACGCCTCTGCCATTGGCTCTCACGAGCAATCGGCGCCTTGAGATGCAAATAAGGCGCTATAAAAGGGGCGGGCGCCGCTGCAGGCGTGAGGACGCGGCGTAAGACGCCAGGGGGCGAGGGCGGCGGTGGCTGCGGGCCGCTGCGCTGCCAGGGGCGCGGGCGCACGGCGCTCCGGGAGGTGGAGGTCATGGCTCCGCTTTTGGCGCCCGGCCGGGACCGTGCGGCCCGGGAGGATGAGGACGGCTGCGAGGCGCGGGGGGACCGCAAGGTGCTGGCTGTAGCCGTGGATGGGGGGGCGGGGGGCCGCACAGCGGCGGGGCTCAGTTGCTCGCTTCCCGCAGGCCCGGAAACCCCTAGTGGAGAAGAAGAGGCGCGCGCGGATCAACGAGAGCTTGCAGGAGCTGCGGCTGCTGCTGGCGGGCGCCGAGGTGAGGCCGGCGGGCGGGCGCCCAGGGGCTGCGGGCGAGCGGGCGGGCGGGGGTCGCCGTCCGGCCTCGCCTCACCGACCCTCCCCACCGGGCGCTCCCGCCGGCGCAGGTGCAGGCCAAGCTGGAGAACGCCGAGGTGCTGGAGCTCACGGTGCGGCGCGTGCAGGGCGCGCTGCGGGGCCGGGCG